CATATCATATCATATCATATCATATTCATATCATATCATATCATATCATATCATATCATATCATATCATATCATATCATATCATATCATATCATATCATATCATATCATATCATATCATATCATATCATATCATATCATGTCATATCATATCGTATCATACAAAGCTTATTAAGGCTTCTATCAGAAGGTTGTTGTAAAAATAACCTGAATAGTTTGCCGTAGTTCTGTACTTTCAATAAAAATTTCGACGATATCCAGCCTTTCCTCTATAAGAAAGTAAAATGGTAGCAATATAAGATCGTTAATAAAAAAGTCTTATTCAAAAAGGATGAGAGACATTCAAAATTATAACAGCGACGTAGTGAATCCATCGGAACCTTGTCAGTCACCCTTCTTCATTTAATCGCAACCTGAAGAGCAAGTTTGGGTAAGTTATTGCAAATGACAAAGGTCTTTTTATTTAGTTCTGGGTATTTGGGGCCCTCAACGGGGCTAACATGTACCAAAAACTGTTATCATTGAAACATATACTGTCTTTGCTCGTCAAAATAGAAAACGTATTAAAAGCAAGCAAAAATGACCATGACGTCTGATACAAGAAGAAAGATGACGTCATGACGTAGATACGTCCATAATGGCATAAATAACTTTATCATATGATCGTAACCTTATAAACTTACCGATCAGGTTTTTGTCCATAAGTGGCTGCTTGACCCACTGGGCCAGTAATCTTTGTCCTTGAGGTGTCTTGCAGGCGTTCAGCAAACCAGTTAGACATTTGGATTTGTTACCACCTATAAACATTGTGCACACCTTAACACAGTAACTGAAAAATATTCTACATTTCTTGATAAAGACCATATTATCGATACCAAAAATTCTTCGATTTGACTCCCAATTAAAGAAAATTGTAAAGAATAAACAAAATTTTCATCAGCTTCGAATGGACATAAATTCTCCACATATTTTGGTTTTCAAATTTACATTAGCTTCTGGCTTCATTAGCATTAGAATAAACAAATTCACATAGTGAGAATGTAGAACGTAGTGAAACTAGAAAACAATTCTAATATGAAGAAAAGCAAGTCAATTTATACTTTTTGGAACAGAATAGAGACTGTGTGCTGGGTGTGCAAGCATGAAACTCAGAGTAACAGCCAACATGTCTCATTTTTGATTACATATATAATATTTAAATAGCTCTTTACCTCTGTGCACCGAGCACTGCACTGGCATATCAAAAAAGACAACTCATCCAATAAATGAATATACATCTTATCCATCTAATGTTAGATAAGTAATGAATAGTGAACTTTATTAATTAATACCATTGCTATTTATTTAAAGGCAGTCTGTCCCCTCTGTGATTGGCTAATTCTAACTTGAAAGTTACGCCTTAAGAGGGTCATCCTCGGTCTTTAAGACATTTGACATAGTTATTGTGGGTGATCACGACAAAATTCACAGCAACTCGCTCAGGGAGAGTATGCTATGGTGGTTCTTCCTTCTGGTTGTTTTTTGTGTGCATTGAACCAAAGATGGATGAATATCATGGCCATGAAAATAAAATTCTGAGAAGAACGAGGAACAGACTGGCTTTAATGAACTGTGAAAGATATCAGTCTGTGGTTATGCTTGCTATTTTAAACCTGTCGTGGATAGGGATACATTCGACATAATTTTAGTATCGGGATAGGCAGTGCCCATAGGCGACTTTAATTAGCATGATAAATATATATATATTTAACCAAATGGATCCTACTGTAAAACATTGGTATAATCTGGGTTATATTTTCTCTTTGACAAGTAAATTTTCTAGTGAATCTGTTCAAAACTGGTTTCGATAGATATTAATGATATTATACATTACACATTTTTGTATAGCAACTGGGAGCATTTATCGGAGAAAGCTGGCCTTGTTCAGTAAGCTGGCTCGCTTTGATGAGATTGATTTTATCCCCTGGTTAGAAGAAATGAGTTAGCCTGGTCAGCCAAGCCGACTGTGTTAGGGTACACACGTCTTTACTCGGATTACCATTGTAGAATACAAGTACGGTTAACGGGTCCAGCAAGCTTGCCTGTGTTTGTATGGGAAATGTTCACGCCATTCAAGCGAGATCGCAGCTAATTCAGTTGCGACCTGGGTTAGGTTTGGTGGCTTACTTACTACAAAAGAGATTGGTGAAATCAGAAAATGTCTCAACAAAGAGAGCTTGGCTAACCAGGCTAGCTCATCTGCCAATAAACATATGCCAGGCTAGCTCAATGGGGTGTGTATCGCTCGCATAGGTCTTGCTGTGCAAGCTCAGCTAGGTCTCGTTAGCCCGGTTACAACAACATTGCTTCAACAGAATCTTCTTACCATCCAGAGGCGAAGGAAAAAGGTTCAGTGCCCTCACTGCAGCTGCATCGAGCCTCATGAACCGCCTCAAATCGAACGCAGATATGGTAAATTGACCGAAGTTGCTGTCATCAGAAAGAAGCTAAGAAAAAAATATTAAGGTTATATTCGACAAAAACAGTATTCTGCGCCAAGAATGCTTATGGATAATGCTCGTGGCAATTAAGGAGCCACAATGAAATAAGTTTAGCTTTCGAGATAACATTTGAAAACTTCGGGTAGGAGATCTAGTTTGAAACTGCTAGAGGAGATCTATACATTAGCAAGGTTAAGGTGGTTGCTTTCAATGAGAAGAGAAACAGACCTGCCATTACTGCTTGTCTCAACATAAAACTATCTTTAATCGATACATATCCCCAATCTAAAAGTGTTTGCATTTCTTTAAAGTTGTCTCTGTTCTTCTAACTGAAGGTACAGAAACGATTACTTGCTTCTCATAGATACAGTTCATTACCCTAAAAACTGGCTTGCAGTGTTTTTTTGCACTTAGTCTCCATTTGTCACAAAAAAGCTGAATAGAACACTAAACTACTGCAACTATTTGTCGTATAATTTTACGACAAGCTTAGCAAGAACTAGAAGAAACACGATACCGGGTTGTCTAGCATTTGTTTAAGAGAGTAGTCAAAGTTTTGTGGTGAAATCCAATCCAGATCGAACTTTTGGACCTAGATCACCTGGTTTCAATGGTATGTTGATGCGCCTTAACAAGCTTCATTTCCAAGGAAGTTGCTTTGTTAATTCATTTAAGCTTTCAGGTTTTCAATCAAGATCATATTTTGGAAATCTGATATTTTCTGTTTTTCGCCTAAATAGATGGAAAAAAGTTCACAGTTCATGCTACGAATCCCACAAAACAAGCAGCAGGACAGCAGATTTTCTTATGCCAAAATTTATCATTGTATGCCTGCCTGAAAAGTTGAAAATTTACCTGAAATTCGCATTAAGAGTGAAACGCAATAGCCAATTGAACAGGGCCCACGCCACGAATTTGAAACTTGGGGAGGGGGGGGCAAGACTATCAAAAGTAGACCAAGGCCAGGGCTTCTTTCTCCATTTTACTGTAGCCTTAAACAACTTGCTTCGCAAAAAAGTGGGGGGGGGGCATGGCCACCCCACCCCCCGGTGGCATGGGCCCTGTTGAATACCTTTGTTTCAACAGTAGATTTACTGAAAAAACCAACCTCCAGATATTTTATGATGGACGTCAGACAGCAAACAGCCTGTGCCAGATCCAACTCCGCTGCAAGGAAAGACGAAGACATTATAAAAGAAGACTGGCTATCACTGTTTCTTTTAGCGCTTAAACAGCCTAAATCTTTTTCCTGTTAAACTATTTTGAGTAGAAGGCCATGAATCTTAAGTTTTATTTCATGTTTAGCTAAGAAGTTTTAGTTTAGGCCATGAATTTAAAGGAAGTATCTGTAAACACCTTCGTGATTCTAATAAAAGTTGTGAATTGGCTTGTGATTTGTAGAGAGCACTTGACATCTCTATTTGAAAAAAGGGAATGAAATTGTGAAACGTGATTTGCCAGTGCAGAGAGCATTTTTGATCGTTTCTCTAGAGGGAAGAAATTCTATCAGCAATGTGACAGCTCAGTCAGAAATGGGTAAGGTCAAATTTCAAAATCCAAAGTTTTTGTCAATATATTTTTATCAATATTCCAAAGATCTGTCATGCCAACATCTCATTGAGCTACAGGTATTTGAGTTTAAACAAAACCTGACAGCAAGACATGTTTCAACGTAGAGGCCTGGCTGAGAAAATTGGAGGGGGCATTTTTGAAAAATCATGTCGTATGGAAATGAGCAATTGAAACAACAAAAAGGCCAGCCCTTGGGAAATCAATAAACCTAACCAATAGTTTGCCGCCCGAAAATTGAGAAGTACGAAGAAATGTCTTTTTATAATCTCAGGGCAGCAATATTCTGGAAAATTGAATAGCGGCGGCGGGGAGGGGGGTTAAAGCACGAGAGTTAAGTCTCTATACCCTACATTTAAAACTCAAAGAATCAAAGTGGGATTTGGATTGCCTTGATTGTAAAAATGACTCTTCAAATAAGAAAGATGACATAAAAGGCTTGCGATCCGGGCTGTGATGACCAACAAAGTCTTGACCACCAATTGAGAAATTCGTTGAGACAAGACCTCTTAGAGGTCTTTAAACACAGCAAAGATAAGGGCATAATACGTTGTTCTAAGAGGTTGTGTCATACAATTTTTCTATATTCAGTCCCAAAGGTACCGATTTCGTGGGTATTTGAGGGGCTTGAGCCCGCTAAGGAATTTGTTTAGGGACATCAGCACCCCCCATAGGCTGCTACTTGATGCAAAAAAGCGTCCCAAATTGTAGTTTTGTTTTGAAAAGTAGATGTAGAATCTTTTGATATCGGCGACAAAGGACGATTAGAACGAGAGTGAAAATGAATTCTGTTTGAGAACCAACAATGATGATTGCAATGAAAACTTAAGTTCATGTAAGGATACACCAAAGTTATTTCTGAGTCCATATGGTAGTTACACTTTAAAGGCTCTCAAAATTCTTAAACACAAAAAAATTTCGTCGTGATAAACTTTTTCTCAAATTATGACAAATTACATGGTTTAATTTCTAGAGGCTAATGTACGAGAACATAAAATGATTGGATATTTGCCTAAACTATGTGCATTTTTGGTAGACAGGGGAACGGAACTTACGTAGAGATGCAGATGAGCTGCCTCGTGTCTTTAGCAATCTGTCAAGATCTTGCACGACATCTTTCGATGAGAATTCAGCTGAGGAGAGAAAGAGATGGTCAAGTCTAATATGGCTGCGATTTTAGCTGTTGACAAACAAAAGTTGTCTTGAGCGGAAATAGCTAACCCGAATACACTCTTTTTTAAAGAGTATTGTTTATAAGAATATTCAGGCTCCAAATCATCCAATACTCTTTTTTTATAAGAACTAGTAAATATAAGTTCAGACTAACTGTTCTCAATTTTGTCGAAAATCTGAGGCTGGATTGTTCTTAATTTGTTCCAAATCTAATAGGGTGCAAGCAGTGCGAGTGCTAGCTTTTTTCGCTCTAGGGTGGTGTTCAGGCCTCATTTGCCAAGAAAGTGAGTGAGACAGCCTTAATTTGCTGACAAATTTGAATATTCACCGAAAAAGCACCCACACATCGCTAAAAATCCTCGATTTTGAGAAAAACGTTGTTTAAAATTGCATTTTGCAGAAGCTCAGCCTGAGCTTGTTCTTAATTTGTTCTTAACTTTTGACCAATTTTGAGGCACGTGTTCTTATAAAATTGTTCTTATAAAAAGAGTGTATTTAAGAATGTCATAAAAAATATTGCTCAGCCTCAACTCGCATAATTTTTGTCTTATTTTTCAGCAGTTGCCGGTTTTACAGAGAATCGCATGACTGACACACCTGGTCTTTTCAAAAAGCGTGGTTTCACTTAAAGGGCGGGCGATGTTCCCCTGAAACCATATCAGATTTGAAGAATAGTTTAAGAATACATCCAGGAAAATTTCTTAAGAATGTTGATGCTGGAAAAAGTTGATAGTATCCTTATAAAAACGGTTGTAGGCGATTGAATCAGGAGTGAGTTTTTGGCATATACTTTGGGGGCTGGCCGACTGAAATTTGCAAACCATTGGTCAGCTAGGCTTCTTCGGACTCGCTTCATTTCCGGATTCACTAGGGGCCTGGTATCTGGATTTTTGACAAAAACGGCGGTGGAGAATCACCATTTAGAAGGAGAGTCCCAGTCAAGAACCTTTTGTTTGATTTGAATACTATTTCTGACAGCCAGGTACACCCATTTTAAAATAAGAAACTAAACCCCAATGTAAGAAACCCTATATCTTTAAAACTTAAAAACTATGTTCCAATATTTTACCAGGGCATTGGGAGGACTGGGCCCTAGGAGAGACCACAGGCTGGCATTTCTCAGACCACGAACTTCTTTCACTTCGAAACGTATACGGATTTGAAATATTTACTATTGATAAACTATTAATAAAAAAGATCAAAATATGTTCTATGTAGTTTGCTAATGGAAAATTGTCACTCCTCCCAAGCATAAAGACATTGCAAATGGCAAAAATCACGTTAACCATTCACTACCACACGGGCATGTGACGCAGACAAGGAAGTTGTGATCTTCTCGGAACTCAAGTTTTGTAAACAAAACCACCGTCGCATGACATCCATGGGCGGGGAATTCCTATACAAATATATAAATCAGATAAAGTGGGGTATTACCAAATTCAAAGATTCGAAACGACATAGTCGATTTGGGCTAAGACTGCGACAAGATGCACTCAAGATTTAGGCTTCTCTGTCTTTTTGCTATGTTTCAAGGTAAGTTTTAAAGGAATCTTAACATTATCAAATTACGAGATAATCCTTGATCGTAAACTTTGTTTTATTAAGGCTAATAGGCGAACTCCGGCTGAAGTTATTTAGAAACTACTTTGATCTGCTTATACAGTAGACTCCGTTGTTAGTCCCAGCAAATTTCATTTGAAAGTCTGTGACAATAAGCCATGTAAAAAGAGCTAAAATTGATAGTTTTGCGTATTCGGGTCTAAATTTTATGTGACTGTAAACGGAAATATGACAGCTAAGTGAAAGTAGCAGAATCGACTGTAGAAATATTTCGTTGCTGATGATACTACGGTCAATAGCTATTAGCTATATAAAAAACTCTGCAGTTTATGATCCTTCGAAAAAAGGCCGGCAGAAGATATCACTTTAAGGAACAGTCGGCTGGGGTCTTGTAAATCATCTATGGGTACACTCACTTTTAGAAGAAACAAAGGTCTAGGTTGAGTATTCCATTTTCCTAACGCTTTAGGAACTTTCGATAACCATTGTTTGCCCATCGATACCCAGATTCCCTCATTATGATCCGTTTAGTTTTAACAATCGGCGTCATTTATTTTTTATATTTGGAGATGGCAAAAAACCTATTGGGGAAGGGTTTTCACAACTCCAAACAGTGAGCCTTGTCAATGTTTCAATTTTCTTCAAGCGCCCGTGACATCTCTGTCGGGATATTCGCTTCCGTTAATGCTGAATTTAGCCGAGTACAGTATGTTTTTATTCTTTGTGTGTCTGAAGTTTTTTCCATCCAGTCAATCGTATAAACCGATTTTCGTAAGATTTCAGAGTTCTGGACTTTTTACAAAATCGAATTTTTCTCTGCTCTTTTTTTTGCTTCGGGTTCTAAAGTTTCTTAACTTTTTCTGGTTGTCCCATACTCGTTTCTTATGAAAAGCTATAAAATAAAACGAGTGTAATGTTCGAAAGTAACATTAACATAACGAGATCAGAATCTTCGAGTACATCTAAGTTTTTTACGAGAAATACGCTATAAGACAGGAGTATTGGACAAGCTTCAGCACCCGAAGCAAGTAATAAAGGAACAATTAAATTTTGAAATAGCCGCCCAGAACTCCAGGGTGCATTCCATGCAAACCTCACGCCTGTAAAGGTACGCCAAATGTACGTCAAAGTTACGCCAAAGGTACGCAAAGTTTCATATATGCAATATTCAAGTTTTTTTATACTGACTGTACATTGATCAGTCTCACGATTTGCAGCTATGAAAACCCTCCAAACAAGTTTCTGTTGGAAAATTCCTAACGTGAGAAATTAAACATAGGAAATCAATGACGTGACGTCATATTTAAGAAACTCTTAAGAAACAACGAGTGTCTGAATTTCCTGAAGCGTTAAGAAACTGAAGGAAGAACAGTGTTGCCGTGGATAAGGGGAGGGTCAGGGGCTCAGCCTTCTTGTTAAAATACGGAGAGATTTTGGGGGGCTCAGGGCTCAGCCCCCCTAACAAGTGCGTTGGAAACGCTTTATTATACTATAGGTTCCGTGAATGAGCAATTTGTTACAGTTTCTTTTGTGTCGTTGAATAGTTTGAATGGTTTTAAACAAACAACGAAGAATCTTGCAAATACATTGGTGTGGTAAGGGTGTGGTCATCGATGTGAGCTCTCAGGGCCCACGCCACGAATTGCAAGGTGAAGGGGCCAAGTTCTACAAGTCGAATTGAATTTAGTGCTTCAAAACAGGTTTTTTGGAAATAAGTGGGGAGACCATGGCCCCCTGCCCCCCGGTCCCCCGGTGGCATGGGCCCTTCAGCACAGCCCCTTCCTAACTTTTTGGGACGGCACCCCTGAGTAAGGTTGTTTTTTTATAAGAAACAAGGTTGTCGTTGAATATTCCATTTTCTTGAGTACTGAATGCATTTAGGCACTTATAGATAAAATAATAGAATCAAGTTACATTTTTTTCAAATTCGTTGACCGTTGAAATATTTTTCTTTCAGTATGCACATTGAAAAGCTTATTTATTTCGCCCCGAGGACAAAACAGCCCGGATTGCGGTGCAAAATCAAGACCCTGCGCGAGCATTGGGTACTCTCTTTTACAACGCAGTGAGGAAAATGATACTTTAATCATAAGCGGAAGGAACGGAACCAAAAGAGCCTGGTATAGAGAAAAGATATTGAATCCTATTGAAATAAAGAAAAATTTGGCAATAGTTGGAGTAGATGGTCACCCAGTTTTAAGCTTCACGGGAGTTTCATTATTTTTCAAGATTTCGAAGGATGAAAAGAAAAGTGGACCCATTGTCAAATTTGAGACAATTGAACTCGAAGCGGTTCAGGGCACAGAGACGTTTGTATCTGTTCTGGATGCCTCGTTCCAATGCAGAGATTGTCATTTTTGCGGGGCAGCAGATGGCATAAAGTTCACTTGGTCATTCTCAGGGCCGAATAATTATTGGCTTTCTGTGATCAACAGCCAGTTTATTAGGGTTCGTATAGGTATTGTCGCGTTGAATAACTATGGATTCGTGGATCTTTCTATAAAAAACTGCACTTTTCAAGGTATAAGGGGGAAATCCAAAACAGCATTTCAGCTAAATAACCTTCCACACATGTGGCCGTATCCGTTGACATACATCAACATTACGGTACAGCAGTCAAAGTTCACGAATTTCTCTAGAGGAATGGATTTCAGCATTGATAAGATCGATCTGTTCGATTTAGTTATGGATGGGTGCGAGTTTCGGCAGCAATCGGCAGGAGCAATTGTAATAAATACTGGTAAAAGCAAAGTTAAACCCAATTTAAAGATCAGTAATACTATTTTCTACAATAACACGAGGGATAGCGGAGCTGCGTTGTATGTACTGAGCCAACGTCACACGAACGTAACAGTGACCAACTGTACGTTTGACAATAATCTGGCTTATGCAATGGGTGGGGCGGTGGCTACTCTTGGGCAAGTAACTTTGAATATCCAGCGGTGCAATTTCTCTCACAATCAATGCAGCTATAATAAAGGTGTGACGAAAGCGTATGGACGAGGTGCAGGCGGTGCTTTGGCAATAGATTCTTATGAATCGTACGCCTTCGGTGTATCTATTGCTTGGTGTCACTTTGAAGGAAATTCTGCAACTTCATACGGCGGAACGATTTACGCAAAGGCAAGTTCCGCAGATTCCCATCTAGAAATTGTTCAGTCCAACATATCTGCACCAATCACTGAGCAACTGCGGGCACCAGTGGGTGACGTCATCTACAGCTCGTCCTTTTCACGATTGTCAGGCGTGCGTATGACGTCAACAACCCAATCGACGGCAACAGTATACTGCAGTATGGCGACAGAATACTAGAGATCGACACCCACTCTATGATCATTTGTTCAGAAGGGTTCCAGGTCAAAATGGTCGCAACCTCAATATCCGATACTGATACTTCGAAATTTGTCGCAAAGAACCCGAAAAAATATCGCAATTTTTCGATGTGGTGCAAACTATGTCCATACAACCATTACAGCACAGCTGCGAGCATTTTTACAAACTTCACGCCCAAAAATGCTGCTTGCGAAAAGTGCCCGCCTGGAGGACAATGCACCTTTGGGATCTTAAGGGCAAATCCAAACTTTTGGGGATTCAAAAACAAAATGAATGGCAAAGTGGAATTTGTAAGACTTCTCGATGGTTATGGGTGTAATGGGAAAGAATGCAAAACTTACAATTCATGTATGGTTAACAGGGTGGGTCCTCTTTGTGCCAAATGCAAGCCTGGCTTCAGCGAGGATCTGCTAACCACAAATTGTATAGAAAATGGTGACTGCAAAACCTTTCAGTTTTGGGTTATATCTTCCCTACTTTTTCTGGCGTACATAGGTTTCTTCCTGTACAAAAAAGATATCTTCTTACGGATTAAACAAGAAGCCCTTTGGATCTGGCAGAGGAAAAATCCTGCTGTGAATCTAAATGCCGATGATTATGCGCTTTACGACGAGAATGGTGTTCAAATAGATCTTAATGAACAAGGAAATAACGATTCGAGTATGGGACAGGGATTATTAAAAATCATATTTTACTTCTACCAGACCGAAACCATCCTAAACAGCGAAAGAACAAAAATTAAAAGCAATATTTTGCAGGAAACAAAAAGTTTTGCTAGTAGCTTTTTTAATTTCAAATTCGGCAACACCGGCAACTCAGCGTTATGTTTCAAAGCAAACGCCAACCCAATTGAAAAACTTTTTGCACGGTTGGGCCTAGTCACTGCCATTTTTATTGCCTTGATTCTTCTATATGCTTTCACTGCTATCAAGCGACTCGCCAGCAGAACAAATTCAAACAAGGCATTGGCCAACCGAGTACTGAGCGCCCTCTTCGAAGCATCCATCTTATGCTACGCAGTGTTTCTGCGTGGACTATTTCAGTTAATGAATTGTGCCAATATCAATGGTGAGCATGTTTTGTATATACAAGGCGATGTCAAATGTAGCGAATGGTGGCAAAATTTGCTTGTGTTGACCACTGTAATGTGGTTGCTACCATTTTGCCTTTTTGTTTTCTGTTTACCGTATCAGTTGCTACAGAAACGTGCGAAAGCTTGGTCCATTTTCGCAGGATGCATTTTCCCACTGCCGTGGCTACTCTGTCACATACTTGGGTTTGTTTACATTAAATTCATTAAAAAACAAATTGGTGACAAAAATGAGGCAGAAGCGGAGGAGGAGGAGGATGGTGCATTTGTAACTTCGGTAAAGCAGATGTTGACCAGCGCGTTCAAGAAGAACAATGGTATAAACCAATGTGTTTGGTGGGAAGGCATGTTGCTTCTTCGTCGTCTCATTCTGACGGCCGCCCTAACATTCTTACACGATATTTACGTCAAGGTTTATACAGCACTGGCTATACAGCTGATATTTCTGCTACAACACGTGCACGTTCAGCCTTACAATATTCGTATATTGAACATTATTGAGACCACTTCTCTTACGTTATTAACAATTATAGGAAGCATGAACTTTCTTAATTCTCTTGATTACGGTGGCAGCTTCGACAGTATAGACAGCAGTAGGATTCTACAACAAACTTTTGCATGGACACAAGTTATCATTGCTTCTTGTGTCCCGCTTATGTTATGCATAATATCGGTAATTGTTTTTGTTCTTATAGCGTTACGTATGCTTTATAGGCTTTATAGCTGTATTCGTGTGCTTCCTTGTAGACTTGGTAGACAGAACAGCATAGAAAGGTAGTCTTAAACCGGTACACCTGTCGGTACGTTTGAATGGGTTTCATTCTCAGCCTATGAAGCTTACTTATATGTAAATATGAAACTGAAAGTTCCAAATTTGGCATATTATGGTGTAATAAGCCCTTATTGCAAACTATAGAATGACATGTCAATATATCCATTCTTTATATCTCAGTCTTTGTAAACAAGTAAAATCTTGGTGTCATACTTCGAACAGTAAAGGTATTACTTTGCTTTGCTTCTAAAAGACAGATACCTAACATTGCATACAATTTTTCAAGCTTTGCACTGTTTTTGAGATATATAGCTTACACAGATTTGTTTCTAAAATAAATAAAATTAAAAACTATACAAGAGTATAACGTTCACGGCAACGTAGTATTTGAGCCTTCCAACATAATATAGAAGCAGCTCTGCTTATGAGGTTCTGAGATTAAATCTCGAAAATAACTAAAGAAACTGAGGCAAACATTGAAACTCCTAGACATCTATCATCCATCTTACCCAGTTCTCTACAGCTCTGATCAGAAAATTAACATAAAAGTGAACATTCTTGCTTTAAGTGAAAAATCAAGGGGTCCACTACATCTCTATCCCCCGAAAGGATTGATCATCATGTATAGAAACATTATATACAAAAGATAATGTTGTTTCGATATATTGAAGTACTAGAGCTAGAGTGCACTGGCTTGAACTACACATTGTTGAACAGAACTTACCTCGTTTACGTTCAGTTACCAAGACATTGCTTCTTTCCAAAACTTGTCTTATCTTCGCACCATCTGCACTAGAATCAGGGCCGGGAAATAAGCATTCTTTAGGCCCGATCTGAACAAGCAGTGCCTTGAAAAATAACATAGATCTATAGATATACAATACATTCATATACAGAAATCATATCCAATTCTTAATGGTATACAAGAACTGAAGAGCTTGTCAGGTTAGCTTCCGAGGATAAGGAAAGATATTGCTCACAGTGCCAGGCTTTTAGGCTACGATTCCTTATCATAAAGTGCTAGGATATCCGTTCGTGCATAGGCCTGAACTTCTTGCTTATCATAAATCTTTAAGGTAATAAATCCAGCAATATCAATCAGCTTTGAATTTGAAACAGGGAAAACGCACGAATGGCTAACTTTCAAACATTTAGGCCGGTACACCTGTCTTACCTAAGGGCACTCGCATCTCGCGTAAGCATTTCGCCTACGTTATGCGTAAAGATAGGTCCGAGACGTTACATGGCAAAAAGGAGCTATTGAGAAAGCAGAAAAGAGGCGGTAAGGAGGAAAGGATTTCGTTTACTGTGGTTTTAGCAAGCAAGCGATTACTTTTCAAGTTAAGAAATAAGAATACATTTCTGTCACTGTCACTTTTTGAAACATTCTTAAAAGTTTTGATTCTTTACTTGACATATATCTATCTTATCAATTTAAAATCTTTCCTATTCAAGACTTCAGAATTTGCTGTCTATACTATGTCATTTTAGGAAAAATTGATTTTAAAGTTCAGGTCAATGACTTTATACATTCGTAAGGTGGTATATGCTTAAATATGCTCTTTGGGTTTATTAGCTAAACATAACATATCCTCAGGAACACTGTTTATTATATCTTATTGGGACATACATCATTCGTTAAATATCAACAAATAGTTTCAAGTAGTTTCAAGTGGTAAAAGTTGGTTTTGGTATTAGGTGGTTTCAGGTGGTTTTGGGGGTTTTGGGGGTTTTTAAGTGGTTTTATGTAGTATTAGGTGATTTAAGATGGTGTCAGATTTTCTTATGTGCTTACTGCTGGTTTCTGGCAATTTATATTACTTATAATTCAGATTTTTATTATCTATAACTTTGATTAATGATCGAAGGGATAGTAAGCGGCTTTAAATATGATAAGCACTATCTTACTAACCTTCATACATCTATTCCGCACTAATAACAGCTTTAAATTACATAAAAAAATTACTCGAATCCAAAGAATATAAGATGATAACTACAGTGAACAATTACCTCTAAGTTCGAGAACTGATCGTTGTCAGTGAATTCACAAACACCAAATTTCCTTGCTTCAACATCGGAATATGCAACACCAACAAACTGTTTTTGAAATCAGATCAACATAACTTGCGATGAGCAAAAATCAGAACAGCAAAAATGTCAAGTGTAACACCAACTGCTTTTAGTTATAACTAAGTTAAATCACGGTTTGAGAATTATCTATAGAAATGCTGCTAAAAGGGTGGAAGTTAAATGGAAGTAATGGTTAGAATTTTCAATCAACTAAAAGCTTGTAAGATAGCAGTTTAGCTGTGAGCTAATGAACACAAAAACTGTCACTACAAAACTGACAACCACTTACAAATTCTCCCACAATTATAGTGGTTATCGAATACGTTCCCAAAGTTTTGAGAATGTCCCAGGTTTCAATTCGTGGCTTTAGGCTTCAGCTTTGCCACATTAATTCTTGTGACTTCGACCACTTTTCAGAATGGGCAATCAACTCTAAAAAATTTTCTTACAAATTTTCTAGACGTAAAAAATTGTAGGGGATAAAATCGATCCAATTTCTAATCAAAAAGAATTATGCCCCATTCATGATTAGGTTGTATGTCAATTACTTCGTGAGTACGTTCAGTGTCATGTTTAAAATGTGAGAAGTGAAAAATCAGTCAGTAGAAAATAAGAAGTGAGAAACTAGTGAGTAGAAAATGAGGCTTAGTCTGCATTGAATGCAGCGACAAGAGTTTAAAATGTCTTTTCCTCTACACAAATTTATTTATAACAACACAAATCTATTTCCTTTACACAATGCCGCACTTGCAACTTTGAGCTTCATCGAAAGATCCATAGATTACCATCAACATTCCTTGCTTTCTGCAAGTGATGTGGTTCTATCTGCGGCTCTGTTTTTTTCTCCTGAACACCCAATAAAACTAGCGCTGGTTGGAAACCGAATTGACGGCCTACTGCATAATCAACTCATTATGACTATAATGAGCGTTGTGCTTTGCATCTCAAGTATAGTACTTGCTAAATACCGGCGTGTAGCAAGCAATTCAGACTGCCTTTGCGTCGTGCATTTGCCATTATAACAAAATGCAATTGAAGCATCAAATGCTTTTCCTGTTCCTTTGAAGGAAATTTCGTATAATATGTATTTTCGATCCACAACTGGGTATATATATTTCCTAGCGCAGAGTTTTGCTCTAGGTTCTGACGTTTTATACTCTGAAGAGTGTCAGACGAACAGCTTAAGTATACACAAATGTTTGCTTTTTCAAAGCCATTTTCAAATTTGTACCACCAAAAGATTGTTTTGATATAATAAGCATTAAATATAACATAACTGCCTAACTTTTAACCAAATATCCTATACTCTTGCTGGTTCAATTGCCATACGACAAATGATTTGAGATGAGGGAAAAATAAGCAGTTTTTAAAAAATAATCTTGAAAAGGTCTCAAAAGAAAAATTTCACTAGGATAAAAGGTTTCAAAATACTGCTTTTATATATAAGACAACATAAACCAACCAACGTACCTTCTGTCCGGTAGAGTCACTGCCTATTTTAGTTGCCATGACAATTGCTGATGCTGACATATCATTATTACCAAAAAGCACCTCTTCAAACTGCTGTAAATTTCCTGGTGATGCCTATGTTAACAAAAGGTTTCATTTCAGGCACTCAAAATATAACTGTATTTTTATGGACGACTTGAAATTTTGTGAAAACACACCATTTACTTGTTGTTGATATGGTAAGACATTGGGATTGTATTTCAAAGCAGAGCAAGCTGTTGCATGATGAGTGTTGTAGGCTGTTTGATAATTGCTATGTAAGTAATTGCAACAGAGCAAGAGTTTGAGAATCAAAGCGCTGGTATCAAGCACTGTGCAATTAATTATCGCAAGATGTAGTTACAATGCCTGCCAAAGCACTTGGAACAGCCAGCAATATGCGTTGCATTTTAAAGCATCCATTCTTTTTCCGAAAAAAATTACTACTTCCGCCCCTTCTTCCTGGAACAATGTTGATAGTTTATACAAATACCATAAAATAATTGCAAATAAGGCACTTCCTAATTCCCTAGCCTGTTTTATAGGAAGCTAGAATTGTTACACGGAAACAGGAGGATGGCTGAATTTGATCTTGCAAACTGACATTAGTGTTCTAAAACTAGCAGGCATAGTTATTGCAGTGGGCAGATTAACAATCAAATCAAGAATTTTGTGACAACATGCAACATTATCTTCAACATGTCATGAAAAAATATCTCTGGCAAGATTCATGCTATTATCTTAATTGTCAATGCTTTGACCAAAATCATGCTTTGATGGATACTCACCTTGCCAGCGAGCTCCCAAGCATTGCTTTTCCCTGCTTTACTCTTGTATAGCTCTACTCTGTACTGTCTCACCAAAAGTAGATCCCGAACAAATTTTTCAAAGTTGTTTTTGCTTAGTGTAACATATGGCAGTTTGTTTGAGCCTACATTGAACAGAAGTGTCTTTAGAAATTACAAAACTATCTTTGAAGCTGTTTCTGCAAGACAGGAAAATTAAAAATAAGAAGACTTAGGTATAGTTCGAAATCGAAAACGCGGAAAACGCGGAAATCGGTTCCAGCTGATTTTCCAAAGGGTTTTCCTACACAATCTTGTCTGTGCTTGATAAGAAAACAAATCGGGGACATTTCATCATTACCTTACTGGTGGAACCGGTGAAAATTGTGAAAGATTTGTGCCAACGTAAGAGGTGTTTAAGACAAACTGCCTTGTTGCTCTTGCAGCCACAAATCTGCGTTAAACTTTATCAAAGGCTTAATAACTAATTATATACCTCTCTTGTCATCAAATTAGCAAAGATAATTGGTTATTAAAGGTTTCCGCGTTTTCCCCTTTTTACGATTTTCACCCTTGTTCGAAATCGAAAACGCGGAAAATGCGGAATTCTGATTCAATTAAAAATAAGGTCTTATTTTTCAGTTCTTGAAAGAGCTCTGTTGCTTTGTTTATGTACTTTCATTCCAGAAGCTTAAAGCAAAATTTCACTTTTCTGCGTGTTCCGCTATTTCCGCGTTTTCGACCTTGCCAGGTCCAAGGAAGCATTCTGCTATTCAGGCATATCAGAATGCTGAAGTATGTCAATTTCAGCTTTTCCGATTCGATTCTTGAAAGTGTAGTGATGTCTATTTTTATTGGCAATTATGTAGAATATGAATGGCTCAACCTACCTCATTACTCTAGAGAATGAGTATAATTAAGGATTCTAGACAACTTAAGTTTTATGAAACCACTACCTGTAAATATTTACCTGAACCATAGAACTTTAGCACTGCAGTTGATTTGAATACTTCCCTGGCAGTAAATGCAGCATCACTGCCATGCACTGTGTAGTAATCCTGCAGATGAAATTATAAGCTGTCTTTGTTAAAGGGTTATCCTACTTAATTTAAAATGAAAAATGAAATGCAATAAATTATACAAAGTTTGGTAAAAATACAATTTCAGATTCAGAAACAACAACCAAATAGAGGAAAAGCATGAAGTCATAACTCTCTTATAAAAAAGTGATGAAAGCAATTACAGTGCTAAACACATTTACTACCTATAAAACGAATTCTAATTTATTTCCTTGCTATAAACCTTGTTTGTAAAGATTCAACCATAAACCATAAGAAACATGTTGAAGTAATAAAACATTAATTCTTTTATATGATATCTCCTTCATTGCTCTACAATAAAAATATTTTTCTATAATATTCAAATCTGGGAAGTTGGAGAGGCCAGGTCGAAAAAGCAGAAAACGCAAAACACACGGAAAAGTGAAATTTTGCTTTAAGCTTCAGGAAATATAATTTGTTATTGAATGTTTCTATGTTTTCTGCGTTTTTAATTTTCACACTTGTTCAAAAATCAAAAACGCGTAAAACGCAGAATTCTCATTCCTTTAAAAATAAGGTCTTATATCTCAACTCTTGAAAGAGCTCTGTTGCTTTGTTTATGTATTTCCATTTCTGAAGCTTAAAGCAAAATTTCACTTTTCCGTGTGTTCTAAGTGTTCTGCATTTTCGACCTGGCCAGTTGGAGACCCTTCATGGCCATCATTAGCAAAAACTTTGAGAAAAGAGACACACAATTACTCCAATGTAAATTACAAAATTAACAGTAGCAAAATTAAATAACTTTAGGTTTTTCTCAGGGACAAGGAAATTAACCCTACATTTCATTCTAACATCTCATTATAAATACTCACAGATCTTTCAAAAATTTGTATTGTAGTCTCTGGCTTCTGAAAAGAAACAAATTGTCACATTAGTGTAAATTTGATCTCACATCACAAATTTTAAATTTCTTAAAACTCTAATGCAGACATCAACTATTTGACTAAATCAGATATATGTTAGAAACAACACAGTGCTGGGTATACAGTGAACTCTCATTCCATAAAAAACATTTACAATACTTTAAGCTACAAACAACAATTAGCAACAATAATCAACATTAACAAATTAATTAATAATTAATACAATATTGTAATAATGGGCAGGAAGAGGTAGTTTATTCACATGTGGTAGTGAAGTGGAGGGTGGGAATTATGAACTCTCAAGCTCATGTGTGTTGCAAGTGAGTGTATTAGGAGACATCCTTAGATATCCCCTAGTGAAAATACCCTTATATGGAAAAAGGATGCTAAACCCAAAACACATGTATGCTGATAGGCTTAGAAGACCATGCAACATACCCTGACTCACTCTGACTAATTGAAGTATGAGAAACTAACGCCCTATTGATGTAAAGGCAATATTGCCAATAGGCATGTGACTTAAGCAACCAATATTCACCCTATACCCAACACTCCCTGATTTAGACTAACATTTAAAACTAAATGTGCATTAAAAATACAGAAGAAAGTCTGAAATAAATATAAAGAAAAGTCCTTACTTCCTTTATTGTCTCATAAAATGAGCAGAATCCTTGTTCTGAAACACTGTCTGCAAGAGAAAAGTTTCAGATTAAATTGTGCAATGTAGATGGGAAAAGGATAAAGGTAAACAATTTTGCAATTGCAAACAGTGGTGGACACTTGGGGGGGGCGATGGTCTTTTACTTTAGAGGACAATGGTCTTTTGTTCAAAAACAATGGGAAACATGATGTCATCTTATTAAAACAATAGGCTTGCCCCCCCCCCAATATTTGACCAAGTGTCTGCCCCTGATTGCAAAGCAATTGTGTTCTAAAATCAACAACAATATAGTGAGTAAAAAAGTTCAGTACCAAAATAAAAATACTCTCCTATTTTCTATCCCTATACTAGTTCTGGTTTTATTGCCCCTCGCATTCTCTCTTATTTGTCAAACTTCTTCTCTTTGTTTGACTTGACTCCTTTCAAGTCACTTGATAACAATACATGCACCAAACATCATGATTGGTTCTTAATTTGTTTTTGTCCCTAAACTATTTACTCATTATATCCCCCTTTTTTGAAAAGTTCCACAGGCAACAAATTTAATTAGTATTTGATTTGCCAATGCTAATAAATCAACAATTGCTAATGAATGACAAAGTATCATTACAAATGGCAATGCTAAAATGTTATATGACTTGGCTGTATAAACTAACACCTATGCTAAACATGCTGTATTTTCCCAGAATGCATTGGAAATTTTTGAGGTTAGTCAATTGTGATGAATCAGGAAGCTGGAAACTCTGTTGGAATCTTTGCAGCAAGGGCGAGCTATCTGTAGGGGTTCAAAAGCGTATGTAAAGAGGGGAACTGTAGTCAGTCAGGGAGAAATGCAGCAATAGTGGCAATTGAAATAATGGATAACAATTCAATATTCACAGAGAAACATAGCTCTGAGAATTTTATCCATTTTCTAAAATATGTGCAAACAGTCTAGATCTGGGCCTGGTTTCCTATAAAGTCTGGAAATGGTAATTTTTTAACAGCGATTCAACTTGTTAACACAAAAAGGATTATATATTCTAGATTCATATTTCTTATAGCTACCTAGCAGTTTGACTTCGTAAATTATTAATTTTCCTAATTTGTTTCTTTTTTTATTTATTTGATTTTCAGACAGACATTTTTTACATCCTTTTTTCAAAGCAAAGCAACTAAAACGGATTCTTGTCGTATTGTCAAAAGGGCATACACATCTGCCCTCTCATTTTTTATCATTTCTCCGTTAAGATTTCGTAAGGATAAGCCTATGCTCCTCATCAAATCGTAGAGGAAGAATACTGTTTCGCGCTATCAAGGGGAAGCTGAGAGGGTCATCCCACATGCCATGCCACTCATCATGGACTGAAAGATGGGGCAATTTTGCCCTTTTAAAAAGTCCATCTTATGATGTAAACTACGCCATGCCATTGAAAGGAATGTTTTTTTACCCTTAATAAAAACATTTGACGCCCAGCTCAGAGGCATTTCATGCATATAAAATTTATTATAGCAAAAAAAGGCTCACAACTTCACAGCTGTTTTGCTCTATTTAAAAAATTTCGTCAAAATAAACTAAAAAGTAGCACTGTAAAATAATAAAAATCTAAATCCCACCACACCTAGTGAAATTTGCCCTCCTGTTAATGCAGTCTGTGTCATGCTGCAGCTTATATAGTCGGCAGTGGAATTTTTGAATTCGGTTCTTCTCAGTCACATGTGCAACTACAATTTCGTCCCGCGTTGAAATCTGTTTTGGCCACTGGTTTTGGCGGGAATCAAATACAGCCTCGCCATCGAGATTGCCTCACTCCTGAGTGGTTTGGGGGGTGGGGAGCGCCCAAGGCGCTAGATGTCTGACTGGGGATAATACGTATTGTTCGCAGTGAGGCCAATCTTCATATGTATTGTTCGCAGACAATCATCTTCTTTCTCGGGGCAGATTAATTTAATTCCTGTGCGGCTGTCATGAATAGCATTCGTGTAAACTTTGGAGATGGCAAAGGAGTGCAAGTCCCTTGCATGTTAATCATTTAAGACCAGCCTAAGTTCATTTCAATTTTAAAAAATGAATTATCGTTGCTATGATAATTAATGGCTAAAAATTTTATCACTTTTTGTTCGAGATAATCGGGTTTATCTTTCATAGGTAAAAAAATCGTTCGAGATAGCGAATAGTTCGAGATAAGCTAGTTCGAGATAATGCGCATTATTTCCAAACCAAGCCCTACAGGAAAACGAGGGGAAATGGGAATCTGTTCAAGATAGAGAGTTTTTCGAGATAACCGAGTTCGAGATAGCGAGATTCAACTGTAGTTGCAATTTTGTTTGATATAACATTTTTGCAATACATAAGATCTTGTGCGGTAGTTTGGGAATTGCAATTTTGTTGTTGTTGAATTCTCATTGAGGTTAAGACACTTCTGTGCACCAATCTTCTGCACAGGCATCTTGTAATAAGAAACCAGGCTCGGGAAAACTTTTGCTAGATTTTGGCACTTAAAGTTTCTCAAAGGTTCCTTAAATAAAACGTTCTAAAAAGCTTTTTTCAGGTACTCAAAGAACGAAGCTGAACATGGAACGAGCTCTTGCTTTCATAAATTGTGTAAATGAGAGAGAAAATAGGCAATTTGTTGTCGGGAAACAGCATTTCCATTTCATCTTTATAATACTAATTTTTCATTTTCTTCGGTTTAAGTTCATCAATATTGTATTTTACTTGATTTTGGTCATATTATTGGTCGGCCTTCTATAGACAATGTTTATACAATACTAGAGCAGTCTACCTAGCCGCAGGGGCGAAACTACCGGGGGGGTGTGGGGGGGTGTAACACCCTGAACATGGAACGAGTTCTTGTTTTCATAAATTGTGTAAATGAAAGAGAAAATAGGCAATTTGCCGTCGGAAAACAGCATTTCCATTTCATCTTTATAATACTAATTGTTTTCATTTCCTTCGGTTTAAGTTCATCAATATTGTATTTTACTTGCTTTTGGTCATATTATTGGTCAGCTTTCTATAGACAATGTTTATACAATACTAGTGCAGTCTACCTGGCCGAATGTTGGTTAGAGCACCAAAAATTTTCATTTGAACACCCTTGCCTGGTAGTGGTAGACCTCCAGAGAATATGACTAGGATTTGGCATCTTTCTCTTCATCTTTAAAGCATGATTTTCCAGTCCCATAAACAGGCGTAGACAGTCTTAAAATAGCGAGTCGAGGTTACGTTATTACCTTCCAAATAAGGGGACATTGCCTGTGTGATAAATCAATGTTTCAATGGAGAATCATGGACCGAGATACAGGGGGACCTTGCCCTCTTCAGAAAAACTTGAGTATCACTTAAGTAAAACTTGAGTAAAATAATTTTATTCTATAAAATATGGCTGTTGTTACACTTATTTATTAGGGCTGCTCCCCCAGACAAAATGTTTTATCTCGGTCTTTGGTGAGAATGAAGTTCAAATACCTGTACCTTAACATACTTTTGAAAATTATTTGTTTTCTATCATAAATGTAACTTAAACAAACCTATCAAGCCCAGAGGGTACACGTACGACATTGACTACAGGAGGCTGTGCCTGCCAACAGCATGTAATTTTTGGCTTAAAATTCCAGCGCAGGTATGCCAATTGAAGATGTCATGTTTTCAGGTATCATGTTTTCAGAAATTCATTCCAGCACAGGAATCATGTTTTCAAAATTCTATTCGAGGAAAGGGTCATAAAATCCTCGGCAGCCACATACATATGTCATACCCGTCATTTTTCTCCAATGTTAACCACCGGGAGGCCATTGAAAGTCTTATGTAATTTTGGTTATTTCAAGTGACGTACTTGTGCATCCCATGATTCTTTTCGAGCATATAAACCGCGTGTTTCGCGAACAAAGAGTGTCGAGATCAGTGTTCTTGTGGGAAAGACAGAGGGCAGAAAATGGGGAGTGTTAAACTTTACGTCGGTGGTCTACCGTTCAGGTTTTCCGAAGATGACTTACGACTCATGTGTGAAAAGTATGGTGACATAGAAGATGGTAAGTGAAGCTTATTTTGATGGTAACGTACATGTAAAATTGCTCCACCATGCAGTGTTCCTATAGGACGGCCTAAGCCCATCCCTGGTACTGTGCTTCTTGTCAGGATAAGTGGGAAACCCCAAATGATCAATTGAAAACCCCTTTTAATGGCTACACAGTAAAAATACCTTAAAGGAAGATAACATTATTCCGAAGGTCACTCGGCATCGAATGGGGCAAAGCCTGCATGAATTTACTGGTCATATGACTTGAGAACTTGTGGGGCATGGCAAGATCATTGTCTTTTGTTGATCATTCGATTGCTTATGACGAATAAAGAATTTTCGATATCTTTTTTTCTCATAATCCTCTCTTGTCCAGAACTTGTGTACTGCTTTATGATGCTTCATTCGTTAAAGTTGCTAAAATAATGTCTTCATTTAGCACTTGTGAAGCCATGACTTTCAATTTGGAAAATGTATTTTTATTTTTCAGCCTTCATTGTATTTGACAAGACCTCTGACCGGCCTAAATCGAAGGGCTTTGGGTTTGTGACTTTCGTTGACCAGGCATCTGCAGATGATTGCTTGGGAGCCCTTGATGGAACTGTAAGTATTTATTTAATAACCGATCTTATGAAAATGTCACCAGGAATTATGCTTGCTTGTATTTTTAATTTGATTGCAAGCTTCTGATAACTATACACCTGTCAATGATTCTTTGCTGTTTGATCCCAAGTTTTATTTCCCCAAAAACTCAAATATTATATTTAAAAATGGCTATATATTGCTTTTAAGGTATGAATAAAATATTTCAAATTCGACAGTAAGTCAAACACTGAATTTCTTCAAGTTCCAAACAAATGAGAGCTAAGTTCCAAAAAACTACATACTTGGCAGAAAGTTTAACCAAAAAAGGACCAACAAAATTTAAAAGTTGAGCTTGAGCATATATATTGTAATAATTTCTTTGCAAAAATCATCCATCAAGGAATTGTTTTACTTTTTTAAACAGTTTGCAGGGCATGAACACGTTAATCCCCTTGTTAAGAATATGACACAGCTCCCCCAACTTTCTTGGAATCAAGAAAGCCTGACCATGGCTGACACATGCTGGGAGAAATATATTCATCAAAACTAGAACATTTTTTTCTTGATACACCCTTCTTCTGTTTTTCTGTCCTACTTAAAAAAGGTGTATTTATCATATTTCAAGATTGAAAATATGTACATTTATACTTTTTAGGACCTAGAAGGAAGAGTATTGGCAGTTGAATATGCAAAATCTTCAAATAGTGGTGGCGGCAGAGGAGGAGGACGTGGAGGTGGCAGAGGTGGAGGAAGAGGGTTTGGAGGTGGAGGTGGAAGGGGTAGAGGTGGAGGTCGTGGTGGTGGTGGAGGAAGAGGTGGAGGATATGGTGGAGATAGAGGTGGCTATGGAGGAGGTAGAGGGAGAGGTGGGGGCTCAAGAGGAGGTTATGGAGATGGTGGAGGAAGAGGAGAATATGGTGGTGGGAGAGGGGGCTATGGTGGAGGAAGGGGTAGTTATGGTGGAGGAAGAGGTAGTTATGGAGGTGGAAGTAGGTATGATGAAGGATATGGTGGTGGATATGGGGAAGACTATTATGGAGGTGGTGGAGGAGGCCGTGGTGGAGGTGGAGGTGGTCGCGGCTATAGTGGTGGTGGCGGCTATAGATACTAGGTTCATATGTAAATATCTCATGGTAGGTTTTACAGATTTATTCAGAATTTGAGTAACTAGGTTTAGCTCAATACAGTCCATCTTCCATGCAGGTTTGCAAAATTATTTTTGCTCAAGGCCTTTTGTTGACATTTCTTTCTTTTGCAACAGGATCAAATATTGATTTGCCAAATTTTAAAATTCCAAGTTACATATAGTTGATTCCCCACTTCAGTTAAGATTTATCTCATCATCTTTAAAACACTGAGAAAGTTTCAGGTATGTTCTTGATGCCAGTTGTTTAAAATGACATGTCAAGAACAATTTAGGGCCGAAATTAGTCTTGTTGTCAACATTTGTTCACTCTTTTTTGTTTTTGTACACTCAACTTTTAGTCGAATTTAAATTAACAAGGTTCTTTTTGCTACCAAAGGGCTCCTGGTCTTAGATGGAACTAGTATTGGTCTTGCTGTGTATTCTTAAGTGGTCAACAACTAAGCTGGGCACAAGATAATGACTGACTGTCAGTGATCAAATAGGTACATTTCAACGATAGTCTCTTCTAGCACATTAAGAGTCAACTATAACAATGACTGGTCTGCTGTTCTGCTGGTCTAAAACCTTTGAAACTGTTACAATAAAAGTGGAGATATAGGAAACTTCAGTGCATTGCTTGAGGAGGATATTGGTCCATTGTTGGATTGAAGATGAAACTGACTTGTTACAAGTGCTTGCATTAATTTGGTCGGAATTTCCTAGTTAAAAGTATCAAGAAGAAACATGGGCTGTATGAAAAGTTTTCTATGAGCAAACAAAAAGTTCCTTCAAAAGTCCTAGATGCTTTATCAATATTACACGCTGTCTGCTGGTCTTATACCACTGGTAAAAATGCTCATGAAGATTCTTCAGGAGCATATCAAAGAATTATCTGCAACAGGTTGTGGCTTATTTGTGATGGTCTCAAATTTTAGCAAGGCATACGACACAATTTCAGAGACAAAAGGGCTGGTCACAGACCTTACTTATATTCAATTCTACCTCAAATTGATCAGATTTGTTAAGAGCTAATAGCAAATTGTCATAAATGATCTTGGTCTTTAAGCAGTCAAACTTTATTGCAAGAGTTGTTTCTTTGCTTTCACTTTGCCCAGATTGAACTAGTTGGTAGCATACTAGATTTTCAGTCTGTTGAGTTTTAACTCTGAAAATAATCTAGACCATCACTGATATCTTTGTCAAAAATATATTTTGGTATTAAGGACATTTAGACCAAAATGAAATACTGATTGATATTGAGATTTTGTATGTGCTGATTGACGATGCTTGGGTTGTTGAGCCTTCTAGCTTAGAAATATAAAGGAAATGTGCATTTAGACTTATTGAATTTATCTTCCTGACCTAAGTTTCCAGAGCGATCAGTTTGATGTACATATTTCTTTTCATTTATTTTCAATTTAAGTGATATACTTTTGTAACTTTTGTTGGTATTATTACATCTTGTCAGTATTCTAGTATGATATTGAAAAAAGCGTTTTCTAATTTCTTGTGGCTCTTCTGTTGATCAATAACTAAAGGCATTGAGTCATGGGTAATAGGCCTTCTCTAAAGGGAGATCATTTGGTTTTGGCATGACCGCTTCAGTATAAAGTGATATTGGCATCCGTTGTTGCAACTTGCTATTGGCAGAAGCGGTTTTTTAATCAGAACGAGATAAGTTCATAAATCAGCTGATTTGGGTATACTCTCTCCTTTCACCATGACTCAATACCTTTAAGGGAAAAGTTTCAATTAATGAACAGTTGCTTGAATGATTTGCTTGATATACAGAAGTATCACTTTCTTGAAAAAGTTATTGTCAATAACTTAAAATATGAAAAACTATCCTTGGTCTTTTCTAGTTTTGTAAGGAACGGTTACCTTTTGTATAGTAAACATGGGAAGGGTGGTGAATTCCTTCCAGCTTGAATAATTTGTCACTGCAAGCACCTCACCCACTCATATTGCCAAAAGTGGCAGGGAGCATTTAAAGAAATTATTTTTTCAGTCAAAGAGTCAATGATTGCTAGAGATATCTAGACTATCTAGTCTTGTCTTCAACATTTGAATGTATTTAGGAGAATTGAATTATAGAGGTCAGACCGATACACGCATTTGTTATAAGAACACTTGGCTACGGTTACAGCCTGGCATTTCTTAGTTTCTCTCATAATTTCAGCCTCAAGTGTTTTGTTGCTTTTTCAATTTTTGCAGACATTTTATTCCATGAATTTTGTTGAATCTCAGGCCGCCTTGTTTCTTTTGTTGTTCTTATTTTCTGGGCAAATCGCAGCCTCGTGTTCTTCATAAGGCTTGTTCTTATAAAAAAGCGTGTATGGTGATAGAGCCAGATCCTGTCCTATCTTTTTTGAAGCAGTCCAGTGGCGGAAATTCAGGCTTTCATTTGGAGGGGGAGGGGGGGGGGCAGGCCTATAATTTTCCGGCAAGATTACATCTTTGATCATGTCTCATTTTAAAGAAACTGCACATTTGATAAAAATAAGTGATTTTTGACGGGACCCTTTAGGAATTTTTCCTGACCACAACATAATTAAGTAGCAAAAAGAACAAACCATTAATGATTATGATTTTTGATATCGAGATCGATATCTCATCTAAGACAATTGATGATACAAGAGGTCGACCGATCACACTCTTGACAAGTCGTGCATTCATGTTATGCATTTTATCTTGTTTTCATCAGTGGGAAATACGTTTGAAAATAACTTTTATTCGAAAGAATCCGATGGAAATTTCGGCTAATCTTTACAAAATTGAAATTAAATATACAATTCACAAGCAGTTTTGATTTTGGTCATATTTTGATCATATTAGCAGGTTTGATTTTGTTTGATTATTTAGTATTTGGAAGGTTATAGAGGCCCCTAGGGTAAAAAGGGAAAATGCAGATCACCTGCGAGCGAAGCGAGCAGAAAATATGGCAATTACGCCCCTTAGATTAGCTTAAGATTCCTTTTCAGAACGACTTCTTGGAGTAATTTCGACCCGTTATAAGGTTGTCAATTATCCGACAAAAGCCCGAATTTTCCGACGACATCGCTGATTAGGGGGGGCCTGAGCCCCCCCCCAAACCCCCATAATTTCCGCCACTGGAGCAGTCAATGGTTCACCAAAACTCACTAAAATTATGAATTGCCGCAATAAAACCTTTATATAAGAACACCCAAGCTTGATTTGCCAAAGCACTACCTTAAGAACATCGGGCTTCTGGTGGAAAACAAGTAGAAAAAATGAAGTGTTTTACAAAATTTGCTCATGTTAATGAAACAACAAATTTCATAAGCTGCTCAACCGTTCTACTAAAAATGCTATGCAATAAAGGGTATAGATTGTAGATGTAGAAAAATCAATGTTGACACAAGAAGAACAACGAGAACATGCAAGCTTCCAAAAATAAGAACGGAATGATTTTATAAAAAAGTGTATGCGCGGTCTTATTTTCCGTATGATATTCTAATGGGTATAACGTGTTTGATGGGCCTACACTCATTTTTGATAAGAACTAGTAAATTTAAGTTCAGGCTGACTGTTTCTAATTTTTTCGAAAATCTGAGGCTAGATTTGTTCTTACTTTGTTCTAAAATTAATAGGGTGTAAGCAGTGCTATTGCTAGCTTTTTCGCTCTAAGGAGATGTTCAGGCCACATTTGCCAACAAAGTGAGTGAGACAGCCTTAATTTGCTGACAAATTTGAATATTCGCCGAAAAAGCACCCACACATCGCTAAAAATCCTCGATTTTGAGAAAAAACGTTGTTCAAAATTGCATTTTGCAGAAGCTCAGCCTCAGCTTGTTCTTAATTTGTTCTTAACTTTTGACCAGTTTTGAGGCTCGTGTTCTTATAAAATTGTTCTTATAAGAAAAAGAGTGTATATGTTCATACGTTGTAATTGGCATGCTTTTCAGGTCACCCGGTTGCCCGCTTGAAAGTGTATGCGTTTACAAGCGGAATTTGATGATTTTGCCTTTCTACATGGCACAAAAAGGTTTTTTAAACACCTATTAATAAAAAGAAAATGTTTCAACAGTAAAATCTTGATATTCTAGCAGGTATTTAATGTAAATTGAAAAAGTAAGAACATTAATCGAGGAAACATGTAAATGTTGTCAGGAAGAAAACGGTAATTTTATGATCCACTTATAAACGCACTGCGCCTATATCATTGTACAAGTCAAGATGAAACAATATTAATTTAATAGTATTAATTAATCTTGGTCCTGTATTTACTGATCAGCGAAACTTTCAGGCCTTTCAGTGGAACTTTTCTTTTCTATCTGCGCGGAGCATTACCTTTCATTCATTGTAGCAATACTGTTTGTCAAGCAATTGTACTCTGATATAGGGACTGACTTGAATGCTTTTTCCTTACCGAGAAAGCGAGGCAGAAAAGTTGCCCCTTTTGGTTTAATTTTCAATTGGAGTAAGGCTGTATAGTTTAAACATTACTTTAATGAAGGCACCTAAAAATTCAATAGTACGTCATTATTGTATAAAGTAAGAGTAATTATTTAGAGTTTGATGAAGGCGGCCACTATGGTTGACGGCAGAAAAAGTTTTGCAACTATGACATTCTAGAGATGGCCGGAAAATGGGTGTGGGATATTAACAACATCGACTGAGAACCAAAGATCACATTTCACAGGTACAATAATGCACCATAGTTCTAATTGTGAATTAATTATCACAATCATGCACCATAGTTCTATTTGGTTTGATTAATGACATGAAGATTGGACAACTTTTAAGCGCAAGAAATCGAATGAATGAAGGCAGGACTTAAAGAACTCAACTTTAAGGATAGCCTTTGTTGTCTTCCAAAGAGTGATTTTTTTAGTAAAAATGATCCATTTTTGGAAAACAAGCTAACTTTGAGGCATCTCAGAAAATTTGTCACCTGATTCTCATTTTTCAAAGGAGGCGCACAATTGGCATGTTTCAATTCGGTGAGGGAGGGGCAACTGCCCCTAGTTTCCCACCCTTAAATCCACCACTGAGGGTGTGGGGGTGTGACAGGATGGGTCACCTACTTTGTCGGCAAATGGGACTTGCATACCCCCACTTAAGCATAATGTCCGGCGACGGGCCTGATCAATCAATTCGGCTTCACTTGAACGACCTGTCAATCTCTCTATGCAGAGTTCTCACATAAGAAGAGGATGAAAGGTCTTCTGTGGAAGTGTTTGATGAAGAAGGCAGGTGGTCTTACCCTTTGTAATCAAACAGATATGCAGACAGTTCTGAGGACGGCTGTAAGCAGAAAATGAAAAACTGCTTTACACATTATCTGGGTTTTTTGTTAAAGTATAGAATTGGGTGACAACTAAAAGTCGCGTATTTATCATAATAAGAATAATTCTGGCATTAAACTCTTGAGCTCTTCAGATGTTTGATAACCAGTTTTGGCGACGTTTTAATTTCCAATTGAATGGCAATGATAAGAAGAAACAAAACATCCAAAGCATGCGTTTTGCAAAAAACAGAAGAAAGAAAGAAAGATCTGTTTCAGTTCACTGTTTTGAATAATAGCTATCTCAAGCGTGTTAATGGAAACTAATTACAATACCAATGAAAAGATCTGATCATTTGCTTCAAACCAAACTATAGGAATTGACTTTTTGCTAAAATGGGTCTAGAAGCTCTAATAAACGCACAGTTTGCTTTGTTAGCATAAAAAGCTATTTATTGGCAATGAACCATTTCAGGGCCGGCAAAATTAGGGGACATAGCCCCCACTTTTCTCTAGAGCATGATTCATTATTTTAATGCAGTCTACCCTTTACTCGAGCTTAATCCTTGCTCGCAAGATCTTCTATTGGCTAAACGTGTGCCAGAAAGTCTGTTGTCAATGGACTGTTGTTATCAATTGTTGAGTAAACCAGGAGAAATTTTTGACAACACGAGAAACGAAGAATTTGTAAGTATCGTCAAAAAGCTTCCAATTCTGATTTGATTGACGATCCTTTACTGGCCACAGAAACGGAAGAAACGTTAATTAATTGTGAAAACTGTAGACGAAATTTTATGGTATGGGAAAATTTGAATAAGGGCAAAGCATACTATCTTTCTTTTCTGCCAAAAGAACACTTTCGAAGTATCAGCTTAAAGTGTATATCAAGCCAGTGAAGGAAATAGTGTTTTTTGGACAAAAACATACCCCTGAATCGACTAGCAGTGTTGTTCTGAGGGTATGCTCTGTCGTTTAGTCCTTTTTTGCCACCTGAAAAAGTTGACTTTTCATATTGTTGAGCAAAAGCCGCGCTATTTGAAGGGGCATGGGTCTAGTGCTCAGTGACGTAAATTACGGAACACACTGAGGCAACGCCATTTGTTTATATGTAAAATAATACGGTAACACGCACATCAAAATACCTGATCGCTGTGTTGTGTATGGTTGTGGTAATAAAAATGACAAAGGGACTGTTTGGCCCTGGTTCTCCTTGCAAAGTAGCTTTTCAGCCATTCTTCGTCAGCCAAAGGCTCCCCAGTATATGGCTCAAGGCTGTCCTCCCATTCCTCCTGAACGCAACCAGCGTTTCTATATGCATCATTACCTGGAGACATCGCTCTATCGTCGTGCTCAATGTCATAATCAAGTTCAGTTCAGAACTAGAAGTCTCTTCTGATAAAGACTCTGAACTCCCTGAATCCGATTTTGAACTCATCTCGAACACCTCTCCGTACGACAAAACAAAACACTGTAAGAAAAGGCGTTCCGTAATCTACGTCAGGGCTACTCTCTGTTCCAGACTCCAACGTGCGCGGCTTTTCCCCACGGGGCTCAAACTTTGAGCCCAAATAATTAGTTACCCTTAATTGAAATAAGCACAAAAATGCTACGAGCGGATTCAGCGTACCAAGAACTACAGAAAACATTCAAAATATAATTTGACATGATTTACACTTTAAGAATTCTGGACGTAATGACAAATTCTGTTAAAAATTGTTTTTGACCAGCCTAGTTTTAAAGGCTTCAAACTTTCAATTTTAACGGTGACATCAATTCACTTGGTAGCCGGCTTTGCTTGAGCCTTCACTGATTCATTCGTTATTTTTTCCTAGTACAAATTTAGGCTAATTTAGGCTATATTCCTTTCCTCGACAGCTGGTTTTTTCCTTGCCTCGTTTTGAAACTTGGGTTGGGCGGAAAAAGCAACGAGAAATCGAACACACACATTTGTAAAATGTAAGGAGCTATGTCTTCAGGTCAAGAGGGGGGACTCTTGATGGACAACATGGAAAAAGGCGGAGAGGATCGAACAAAGCTTCAAGAAATTCTTTCCTTTGTGAATCCTGGAAAGTCAAACGCTTTCTGGAAAGATGTAAGAGTTTGCCCACTTGCTTTTGAAGATAAAAATCAAATATTATTTATGGGGTCATACACAAATTAAATTCTTGCAGAGATTTGTTGTTTTGGTGATGGAGGGTTTCACTACAAAAAGGGGGAGTAGGGGGGGGAGGTTCAAGCTTTTGTCACTTTGGTGGGAGTGAGTTACTTCTGCTATGGTTTTTATTCATTAATTAAGACTAAAACTTCTCTTGTTATTTACTAAACTGATGGATTGTTACATATAGTAGCATGCTCATCTTCACCAAAATTAATCTTCACCTTACAACTGCTAATCTCAAAATTTTATCATAATATTTCATTGTTCATTCCTAATTTGCTTTTGCAGTAAAAATGTAATATACACTTTTTTTATAGGAACCAGTAAATTTAAGTTCAGGCTGACTGGGGCACAGCTTGCAAGTTGCCCTACAACAGGTTTAAATTAGAATTATGACATCATCAAGCACATGCACAATTTTTTTAAATGCAGAAAGACATGGCAAACAATATGTATCTTTTACAGCATAACTTTTACTGATTTCAATATAAAACAGTCAGAGAAAAGCCAGCATCTGTATTCAAACATTGGATAATCATAGTCATCATTATCAGTATCTGTGATGAACAGTAAAACTGGCAATAGAACTGATAATTAATATCTTCAGAATCCAAACAACGCAAACAGGAGCCACATCTAGTAATACCAACTGGCAGCTTGCCGTTTCCTGTAGAAATGTACAGATTTGAATAGGCAGACTGTAATATAAATAATGATTTACAGCCTTCAGAAAACTTTTTCTGTTTACATTTTACCTCTTATACTGATTAGTTTTTATGAATTTTATTGCTTTCTATGAACTACAAATATTCTTTTGCCGAACAGATACACAACTCTAAACAAATTGCCAAATAGTCGATGATAGAGGGTGTGCCCCCCTGCCCCCAGCCATGATGTCATTGAATGTGCTAAGTGGAAATAGTTAAATGAAGATGCCTTTTTGAGAAATCATTGACAATAAAGGCCATTTCCAATGCCCAAAGTCATTCTCATCAGGAGTTTTTGAGCAACTGTCCTACATTTTAAGCTCATTTGGGGCAGATTGGTGATAATTAGTTGAGATGTAGCAACACCATTCACTTTAACACATTTTGCATCTCAAATATAGAATACACAAGTTGATTCCTATTGTCCTTTTTTATAAATCCATTGAAAAATAATATTGAGCAAGATTGAAGTTGCATGAACAAATCAAGAGAGAGTTGTTGTTTGTAACCATTTGTAAGAAGCCCCATTTTTTCAGAGGTAGTATGTTCTTATGTTCAGTTAGATTGAAGAAATTGGGCAGAAAAATTTATCTGTAATTGTTGGGAAGATGAACCAGTTCTTGTTCATGGTCTGTTGGCTTCCAAATTTGGCATCATATAATACACTTGGGCAGTTTGAATCTGTCTGTAAGGTGGGATGAAATCCTTGTCAATACACATACTATCACACTCCTAAATGAAAATATACATCCAACTAGGCACTGTTCCATTGACAAAACAGCTATTTGCTTAGAGATTGTCAGCAGTATCAAACAGCTTTGTTAATAATTGACAATTTTATCAAATAGAAAATCTTAATTCCCACAATAGCCATTTCTTCCATTGTACGAGTGCACAACTGCTGAATAGTTGGTGCTGTAGCTTCCTTTGGAACTGTGCCAACTTCTCTTTTGGCAAGGCAATAATGAATATTTACAAAATTAACTTGCTGATAACGGCATCGACATCATTTCGTAGCCGCAAGCAATAGAAAGCTGGACTCTATTCAGAGGAAAATGGGAATTCTTTTCGTAGCGTTCTGTTACCAAAACTGTGTCATTCTGTTGGTTACTTACTAACCTACTTACTTACTTGCTTACTTACTAACCTACTTACTTGCTTACTTTCTTACTTGCTTACTTACTTGCTTACTTACTTACTTACTTACTTACTTACCTACTCACTTACTTACTTACTTACTTACTTACTTACTTACTTACTTACTTACTTACTTACTTACTTACTTACTTACTTACTTACTTACTTACTTACTTACTTATTACTTGCTTACTTACTTACTTACTTACAGGATCCCCCAACACTCCTATATGTACTCATTCTTTGTACATAAAGATCATGTATTGTGATACCTGGTATAGCTGGAAGATGGGATAAAAAAGAAGCCATAAGCTAGTAGGTGGGAGGAATTTGAATGTAAACATGAGATGAATTAATCCAACCTGCCAGCTCATGGGCTATTGCTATTGGTTAGAGAAGTTCGAAGTAGGGGCGTTGGTTGAAAAGTGTTGTCTTAAGCAATATAATACAGGGGGTTCTGAAAGCTGGTGACAGGGGTAAATGGGGCTGACAAACCTTACATTTTAGGTGACGTAACTCAAAAACTGTGCACATGATACACCTTTCATTACTTAAGAGTCATTTGATAGTTGCTGGCAGAAGTTTCCCATTGTTTTTAGTGTTAAGATTTTGTGACTTGTCCTGTTTTGTACTAATCACAGAATCAAACTAGCAACATTTTAGCATCTTGCCAATCTCAGCAGTATCAAGTTCTTGAGAAGAATTTTTTTCAATGAAATAGGTGCAGGCAATGCAAGAAGAATCTGAGAAAAGTGGAAAGGTAATGGAATTCAAAGAAGCCATTGATCTAGTGAGGGCAAAAAATATTTGCATTTATTTTGAAAGGAAATCTCAAGATCCTGTTGTGAAAATGATGACTGACTGGTATGCTGAATATGAATTATGGGAAGAGGATCTCGACAGAATACGTGGATTTGAAAAACAGGTAATGACTATTTATCAGAGTTTTCATATACACAGAACCGTCGGAGCCAGGGCACTGGAGGGAGGGGGACTGGAGCCCCCTAATAATTGTCGAATTGTAGTATGTTTCCTTTATAGCAGTGTACTGAATGAGAAGAAATACAATTGACAGCCCCCTCCCAATATGAATTTCGTTCCGACGGCACTGATATACAGCATCCATAGCATCTACATGGCTTCCACAGAAATCTGGATATTTTACATGCCTCTGATTTAAATCTTTACAAATATTGAAAAAGCATGATGTAAGTCAAAGTAAGCTTTTCAGACAGATTTTAAACACAGATTTCGATGCTCTATGAATGAATTGGCAGTTGCAAACAGCCTTCAGTTATCCTATATTTGATTCAGTTAATCCCCAAATCTAACTGTTGGTGAATTTATTTCGGATTGTGTTTCTTTATTGTTACACACTTTTTTGGCTGTATGATAGCCAAAAAATTACCATGCTGTCAGAACAGGTCCTAAATGATAGACTTAACATCAGTCAGTGTTTTTAGGTTATCTTCACAGCATTGATGAACATTCTCTGAATATGGTATTTTTTGTGCCAAAAGATTCATAAACTGCAGCCAATTTGCTGTCTACATCCACCATATTTTGTAGGAAGAAGTTGTCATATTTTAGAAGGCTATCTTCTTAGCTGTTTAACAAATAAGACAAAAAGCTAAATACAATTTGTAAATGTAAAAATTCTTTTTCATGCACTGGAGGTGTATATTATATTTCCACCTTAAAGTTTATCTTACCAGTGGAAAAGCTTTCTTACAATGTTTATCATTCTACCCTAGATTTCAAAGCTGGCAGTAATAATAATTGATGAAGATTATTCCAAAACTAGAGCTGCCAATAAACAGCTTGTCGATGCACGCCAAAGAGCTTTCTTCAAATACAGTACTGAAGAGTTTGCTGTTTCCATTAATTCAAGGAATGTCAATATAACACTTCTTGAATTGTGTGCAACAGATTTCTACAAACCAAATGATAACAAAAAGAAACAGAGCAAAAACCATGGACCAGCCTTTCCAAGCTTCAGAAGAGATTTTTTTGTCATAGCAAAGTTAGTTTATAAGATTTGCTTTTCTTTTTATATTTGCTACAGTTAGCTTGTTGTAATTTTAGAATATCTGCTTCAAGGCTGCCACAAGCTATTGTGCTCAAGATCCATTTGCTCATAGAGTGGGTCTTCCATTTGCCAACATGTTTGAAAATTTGCTAAAAGAGATAAGGATTTACCAAAATATTGACTAGCTCCTCTGCAATTTTGTTCAAAATTTGTGCCAAAATTTAGTGCAATTTTTGCATTCATTGGTCATACCAATTGTTATGAAAAAGATGCTTTTTCAAATGATTCAACTCTCAAATTGTTTTTATATGTTTTTCTTTTTGATGCATGTAAAATAGCATTTTAATTTGAAAATGTATTTATGTAGATGTGGCCTTGCTTTGTAGATGTATTGTCGACAATGACAGAAAAGTATTAAATGAATCAAAAGCTTTAGAATTGGCTTTGGAGAGCAGATATGATAAATTGGCATCACTGATGATCAGAATGTCAAAGAAAGTCATGTAAGTCCAGTTCTCTCATTCTGTAAATCATAGTAGTGCAGCCACTTAACCTCAAAAATAGGATGACTTGTGCAGTTTATGGTGCAAGCATGAAATGCTGAATAAGATGAGATGCATACTGCCACTTCAAAAGCACCCCTAAAAGCTATTTTTAGACTGGGGTACCTGTACCCAGTCCCCTTTTGGGTCTTCCTCCATATCTTCTGAACTATGTAAATTATAAACCAAAATTTGATTTCTGGCATAATTTCGCATGATGAATAAAATGAGATACAGAACCCATTTCAAAAGCCCCCAAAAGCTATTTTTAGACCCCTTTTTGATCTTCCTCCATATCTTTCTAACTATGGAAATTATAAACCAAAAATAAAGCGCCCCCAAAAGCTAATTTAAGACTGGGGTACCTGTTCCCAGTCCTCTTTTGGGTCTTCCTCCATATCTTTTGAACTATGCAAATTATAAACCAAAATTTGTTTTCTGGCGTCCTTAGACATGCTGAATAAGATGAGATGCTTACCCCATTTTAAAAGCGCCCCAGAAAGCTATTTTAAGTCTTCTTTTGGGTCTTCCTCCATACCTTTTAAACTATTCAAGGTATTAACCCAAACAATTTGTTTTCTGGCGTAATTTGACATGCTTGATAAGATGAGATGCACACACAAGTTCAAACACGCCCCCAAAAGCTATTTCTAGACTGGGGTACCCTTATCCACCCATCTTGGTCTTCCTCCTTATCTTTAAAACTATGCAAGTTATAAACCCGGAGCTACGGTTTCTGGCGTGATTTGACATGCTGTGTAAGATAAGATGCACCCAAAAGCTTTGTAACCACGAAGAAGCTGATACTAAAATGTTTTTCCATGTGAAGAGTTTTTCCAGTTCAGGACATGGAAGAGTGGCTATGAAAACGGTCGACAATGATGTTATCAAAAAAGCGATTGCATTGTTTCGTCAGCTCAGTTGAGTACAGCTTTGGGTCGAGTTTGGGACAGAAAAAGACAAAAAAATGGCTACCCATCCACGATTACGCAATTACACTAAAAAACTCTTTGGCTTCTTATTTTGGTACGCGTTTACTTGCTGCGACACAGCGTTTACTTGTTCTTCATTAATTTTGTGGAATAGGCAAAATCTGTTTGGAAGACTTTTCTCAAGTAATTTTTATCTTTCGTTGCTCTATCAAGTGCTACTGGTCAGTGGCGTAACCGACACAGATTTGGGTTTGAGCAACTCCTAAGGGTCCCCTAGGAGGGGCTCTGTCAAGGTTTTCGTGATAAAGGTTTGTTTGCATTAGTTAAAATGAAAAGTGATTTGAGAAACAAAAATTATCCAGGTAACATGTTACATAAATACACTGAGTTTGCAAAGACTTTGGAAAGAGTGGTTTCCTTTTAAACCAATCCACTATTTTTTCAAGTTTACTGTCTTAGGGTGTCAAACGCCCATTTCAATCTTCACAGTTTTTAATATATTATTTGGATAACATGTCTTCAAAAAGAAAATGTAATGCTAGAGCCTCCAAGAGTTTAGAATAAAAATTAAGCAGCACTTTCCAATTCAAGTTAAATAGTTTTTTCATTGGGCCAATCCTGATGAAAGCATTCAAAGTATGGTAAACAAACTTTCACCCTTAGCGCATAACACAAAATTATTCTTTTCTCTCTGTTTGTCACTTAGAATATGCGACCATGACAAGATATTCCACGTGAAAAATACTTGTTAAATAAAAAGAGAACCGAAGCAGGGAAGTACTGCAAAATGTCGGAAGTTTAGCGGTGCAAAATATAATGTGACGTTCTATGAAGCCAATCTGGACGGTGTGGTAGCAAAGTTCTTCCCTGACCCCTTTTCCTTTCCCATCGGAAAAATCTCCCCTTTTTGTCCTCATATACCTCCTTTATCCCTATTTTTCTGTTTGGCCTCTAAATATAAAATATTTTGAACAATTAAATTCAAGGTCAACTCATTGAATTAAAATCTCCACGCTGAAATTTGTGATCGGTATATTCTTTGGCTAAGCGACACTTTTGCCAGAATGAATGACTTTGAGCATCTGCCTGATAATTAACCTCTTTGGTATTTCCACTACCTAAGATTGTCTTGTTCCTTATTGATCTTTCAATCTTTTTATCGCATAAATTATTTCTTTTGCTGTTTTCTTTATTTTTGTCTGGCTTTGGAAACAATATCATTGTTCAAGGGCCCCCGAACAAAGTATTCCTAAGGTTCCCGAACTGTTCTGTTAAGCCACTGCTACTGATGCAGTTCCCAATGAAGAAGTGTCATTGCTTTAGAGTTACCTAGGTTTGCTCAGCATTTCAAAGAGGGCAAGATTAGACATTTGTTTCTGAGCTCACCAGCGACAATTTGCTACGTAGGAGCTTAGACAATAAAGTTTCAGAATTGTATCAAAATTTCTCAGGCAAAGCAGGGTTATTTATGGACGGCGATCTTTCAAGCTTTCCTTCTCATTTAGCCTGTCAATTTCCTCCAGAAAACCAAGTTTCGGGGTTATATGTTGCATAGTTTAAAAGATATGCAAAAACACCCAAAGGAGGACTGGGTATAAGTACCCCTGACTAGAAATAGCTTTGGAGCGTTATTGAAGTGGGGTCTACATCTCATCGTATTTATCATGTCAAGTTTCTCCAGAAAACTATGTTTTGGGGTTATAAGTTGCATAGTTTAAAAGATATGCAAAAACACCCAAAGGAGGACTGGGTATAAGTACCCCTGACTAGAAATAGCTTTGGAGCGTTATTGAAGCGGGGTCTACATCTCATCGTATTCATCATGTCAAGTTTCTCCAGAAAACTAAGTTTTGCGTTTATAACTTGCGTAATCTAAAAGATATGGGGGAAGACCAAGAAGGGGACTGGATAAAGGTACCCCAGTCTAAAAATAGCTTTAAGGAAAGCTTTTTAAATGGGTTCTGCGACAAATCTTATTTAGCATGTAAAATTATGCCAGAAAGCAAAGTTTTGGGTTGATAACTTGCATAGTTTTAAAGACAAGGAGAAAGACCAAGCAGGGTGGAAAAGGGTACCGCAGTCTAGAAATAGTTTTGGGGGTGTTTTAGAAATTGGTTCTGCATCTCATCTTATTCAGCATGTCAAGTTACGCCAAAAAACTAAGTTTCAGGTTTATAACTTGTATAGTTTATGGAGGAAGACCCAAAGAAGGTTTGGGTACAGGTACCCCAGTCTAAAAACAGCATTTAGGGGCGTTTTTGAAGTGGGGTCGGCATCTCATCTTATTCAGCATATCATATTGTGTACTTGTATGAAATGTCATGCTTGTATAAAATATGTATAAAATGCCCAATTCAACTGCTAAGCGACTGCACTATAGTTAAGTGTACTAAACCCAATAGATGCTGCACATTTAGTTGGCTTAGTACAGATCTTGCCAAAAATTTATGCTCAATTAAGAAAGAAAGAACTGCCTGAATTAGCTTGAAGTGTGATAAATTTTGCCTGATTAGGGGGGGGGGGCTGTATGTCTCCGCAGGCCAATCCATATGTCTCACTTGCGCCTATGCCAGTTTTTATCCTCCTTTATGCATCATTTCCCTGTGAAAGATTCTGGTTTCAAATATCTATATTTGCAAATAGTCAGATAGGAAAAGGAGCTCTTAGTTGTAAAATTGGTATGCAATAGTAGAAATATGATTTTTGCAGTTAGAGATGGAAACAAGTAATTTCCACTATCACAGTGCTGGGCTTGATAAAGACTCACTTTTAGGATATGCAAGAGAATAAGAATTCTAATTATTTTTTGCCACTTTGGTGTTTATATGGTATTTTTATATAGTATCAATTTTCTTTGTTTTCTCTTTAAGAGTAAGGTCAATTTTTGAGCATCAAGGTCCTGTTCGTGCTAAGATTAAGTTTGCAGATATCATTAAGGACCCAAGCATGAAGGTACTCACTAGCTTTACTATGAATACTTTTGCGTAGATGAGATTTTAAGCTGCATGAGCTTGTGCATGTATTGCATGGATGAAATGTCAGAATATGCATGTCACACATTTTTAACCTGCAGTTACCAGCAAAAACTAATCTTTGCCAGTTATTGAAAGTAGTAAATAGTTCTCCCCTTATCCAACAACAACTTTTGAAACATCATATGAATTTCTAAATGTTTTTTCTTCTCTCTCTCGTACTTTTTCTTGCTCTCCTCTTTTATTCAGTTCTTGTCCAATAGCAGATTGCCTATGGGGCCTAAGCTCCCGGCCCAGATTCTTACTGGTCTTCAATTCTGAGGCTTAATTTTCTTTTGGTATTTTCAGTCAACGGCCGAGTACTTGATGGGGACTCATTGCAATCATGCCGTGTGGGGGTAAACATATGCTCCAACCTAAGATTATTTAAAATGGGAGTTTTTTATAAATTTCCATTAAAATCGCAAAAATTAATACCTACAAAATTTGCAAAAAATTCCACCAAAAAAGGTTCTTGCAAAAATCAATCTCTTGAAAATGTGGGTAGGTTATGAACTTGAAAAATGAAGTAAAACCTTTTCTCTTCTATAATATATCAGATATATAATAATTCATCTTAGCTTCCTATATGGAACATAGTATTGTGGAAAGCCTTTTTTCAATACGAATCAACTTTCTATTAATATCATCAGCTTCAAAAAAGATTAGGACGACAAAAACATTTGAATACATTAGTGTGAACACTCAGGTTGAACTTGAATGTTCTCTATGGTAACCTAAACATGCAGATTTGCATTTTTGCAAAGCAATTCGCCAGAAAACATTATGTGTTAGTAAGGAATCGAGCATAAATAAAATGGTTGGCTGTTTCTTCCATTGTGGCTTGGTCAATTCCACTTACTGAACCAGAAATTTTTAAAAAATCTATCGAAAAAACTTTGTATCAGATCATAAGCAAGTAAGCAAGTAAGCAAGTAAGCAAGTTGAAAATACTATCATGTCTAATTCTGTGTTTTGAACATAGAGATTATGGTTTTGAAACGCATGCGATCAAGTATAGGCCAGACTCGATTGTCTAGCTAAAGTTTCTTCTCAGCATCAAGTATAGTGCAAAGGACGTGATTCAATGGATGAAAATATTTGTGACTTTCTTCTTCTCGTTCTTTTTCTTCTACTTCTCCTTGTTCTTTTTCTTCTTTTCGTTCATCTTCTTCTCTTTCGTGTCTTCTGTTTTCTTCTTCTTCTCCTACTTCTACTTCTTCTTTTTCTTCTTCTTCTTCTTCTTCTTCTTCTTCTTCTTTTTCTTCTTCTTTTTCTTCTTCTTCTTCTTTTTCTTCTTCTTCTTCTTTTTCTTCTTTTTCTTCTTCTTTTCTTCCTCTACTTCTTCTTCTTCTTCTTCTTCTTCTTCTACTTCTTTTTCTCCTTCTTTTTCTCCTTCTTTTTCTCCTTCTACCTATCCATCTTATTCTTTTTCTTCATATGCTCTTTCTTCTATTTCTTTTCTTTTCACTTTCTTTTTCTTCTTTTGCTCCTTTTGTCCTTATGTAGAAAAATCCTAACATGTTTAGCGTATCATTACTGTTCTTCCTTTTGGAGTCATATCATTGCCCACTATAACATTACCATAGCCAAGGGTATAAGCTTAAAGTTATATTTTATCTTTTACTCTTTGGTCTTCGAATGTTTATAAAATAGAAAATAATTATTGGGTCGGGTAACGCCTTTTCCGTTTGTAAGAGCTCTGTTTTTGGACGTATTTATCGTATTGAGTTATAAATGTTGTAAATATTAGAAGAAATACATTTAATTTCAATTAGCGTGACAAATGGGTTTTCCCCCAGCTTCCCTGTTCTGCTCTAAATCTTGTTATTGTATAGAAAGGCATTGATTTGTCTTTGATTTATGATTTCCCATTGATCTATGATTATGATTTGATCAACTGTTACCTTAAAGGCAATCTGTCACGACGTTGATTGATTATAAGAACAAAGCGATTTTCTATTGTTTCCAGTCCCACTTTAATTTATCGCATTGTAAAAAAGATGGCGGAGCGCTGGAATCGTGTTTAGGCTATTGTTCCAGCTATTGTTCTCGTTAACCAATCCACAACGAGACAGATTGCCTTTAAACTTATGCTACGTACAATCACAGCTTTGAAACTGCTTGCTACGTTAAACAAAATCGGCTGACAGTCCAGCTGCAGCGCATGTCGTTCAACTATAAATAATGCGCAAGCTGCAAGAAACAAGATTATTCAGAATCTCATAGATATTTGATCTTAATTTGATGATTCTGTCAAATCCAATAAGACAATGGTCGATATAAGAAAATTATGAACAAAAACGTTTCCACGGGGGGTGCTAGTCTTAAAAAGTGTGCTTAACCAGGCCAAAGTTTAACAAGACAAGATGTTTGGGAACAAACAGCTCATCAGATAAGTGATAGAATGAAATCTGTGGCATTGTAATAGAATGAAATCTGTAAATCTATAGATAGATTCGTTGATCGTTTCTCATAAGGAATCTCTGTATTACATTTTTGTCAGCGAACTGTTGTCGAGGTCCTTAACAGCACCGTCAACAGGCATTGGCCGCTAAACCCAGGTGCAGAAGACGACGACAGCGAGGTGGAAAATCTCCACGTCATCAGTGACGACCCAGTGCGGTACCACTTCCATTTTCAAATACTTGACGGTGACCAGCAAGGCAGACCTCCAAAACGAAAGGTCAAGAAAGCTGATGCAAGTCCTAGTAATGCCGTCATGGAGAAGGATATGTACAAAGAAAATGTCGACTTTGATCATGCATCAATGTCATGCTTACAAATCCTTTGCAATAGTCATCACAAGGTTTGCTTGATTAGTTAAAATTTTATACTTTTACCCATGTTGGGTTTCTTTAGCACCTTATTACAACGCTTTTTTGCCCTACTAGCAATAATCCTTGTATCTTATTTATGGGTCTTCTCGCCTATGGGGTCGTATAATTTTGATGTCCCACAAGGTGCCAGTTTGCGACTTTTGCTGCTTTTTGTTACATCGGTTTTATGCCATGCCCAGTACGGGCATCACGGCAATCAACTATTGCTAAATATTGACCAGGGGCACTGCCAATCTTGACCCGTTTCTATTTTATTAAGAGTTTTCTTAGAAAGAGCATGTTCCGGTCACTTTTGCTAGAAGGTTTTCTGCACACCCTCATCACTTCCTACTCAGTACCCCCACACTCTTGGAATTAGGCCTCAATGCTTGAAATGAAAAGGAGTAGCGTATCAAGATAAGAAATGTATGGAGGTACCATTGTTTGAGAACAATAGAAACAAAATGTATTGTTCATGGAAACAAAAACAAAATGAAAACAAGAATTTTATAATATTTTTGGGGCACTAGCCCGCTCCCAAAGAACAATGGCAGCTACGGCTTCGAAAAGGTTTGTGCAAATATATCAGTTTTTCTTTAAATTTTTTACCTGTGGATTTTTAAAGTTTAACCCTTGCTGTCATCCCAAAAATATAGCTTCCAGCATGGTAGCCAAAAGCTCCAAAAAACTAGCCACAACGTTCGATACTTGCCTCTTAAGTTTATTCTCAAAAGGTTTGCACTGTATGACATTTGATTATTTCAATGAACTATAAGTCTACTTTGTCTTTACATTTGTAGAAAGCTGTTAACCATCCAACTGTCAAAATGCTGTCAAGAATTAAATGGGACCTGTATGCAAAATATTATATCTGGTAATATCTCTACTAATTTCTGTTAATAAACTTTAACTGCTTATCGTTGGCTATAAACTTCAATGTTCAATAACATTTCCAAATTTTTATCTTTATTTCTTGGGTCGAGTAATTTGATTTGATAAACCACTGTTGACAAAACAAAACCTATTTTTAAAATCAGTACGAGGTAGCATCATGTGATCAGTCTCAGTTCCACTAATAGATCTGAAGCACGAAAGTCACGTCTCGACTTATTTAAGAGTGCCCTTTCCTTTCTCAAGAATCAATGCGTTAAAGATTTCCAAATTGTTGCATTATTTTATTAATTTATTGGTATCTTATTCAGTCCCTGTCCCAGTACTCGAATGGGATTCATTTTTTGTCTGGAAAGGTTTTTTAATTACCCAAAACTTTAAAATGTCCTTTAAAGCTTGCAAATTATTGTTGCGAGAGTCATATGCGATTGGTTTAATATGCAATAGATTGAATATTTCAGGGCATACTTTTGGTGTAAAAAGCAGGATAAACGAGGTTCTACAATGCCGCTCCGAGTTTCAATAGTGGGTTGTAAAACTCGAAGTCGCAACTAAGAGTAGAAAGTAGAACGTTTTATCTGGTGCTTATAACGTCCTGTTCTACATATCAGAGCGCGTATAACTCGTCCAGGGCCCGCGGAAGGGGGTGCTGGGGGGATTTAGCCCCCCCCAATAATTTGAAAAATATTTTTCATTTTTTATTCATTTTAAAAATCTTTATACACGAATTCCTTATCAGCAATAATATAAATAAACTACTTCTACTACAAATTAATTTATTAATATATATTGCTGTTCTACCTAGGGATCGTGTTTTGCTTTGGGAATTTACTAACTTTGTAGAAATCCTTTCAAGTTTCTTTTAAAGAGGGAAATTGTGGGGCTCATCCTGATGTTTCTTGGAATCTCATTCCATGTTTTGGCCCCAGAATGAAAGAAACTTCCCTTTGAGAAATCCAAATTTTGCTTTGGGATATCAATATCAAGCTGATTCCTTGTCGAATACCTGGATATCTCTGATCTAGTGATAAATTTACCTTTAAGGCTGTCAGGGCAAAGACCATTCATCATTTTGTACGTCATTTAATCAGGTTCGAAACTGAAGGCCATTTACAAATCCACCTGTCCTTTAAATGAGCACTTTCAATTAATGTCTGAGCCCTGTCTTGAAGACGCTGAAGATGTTCTAATTCATCACCGTATCTTAGATGGCTCTCGAAAAGTGCCCTGTAAACTTGGTCCAGTTTCGACTGTGGGAGTATGTTTTTAAGTTTCCTAGATATTTTGTGACTCCTAGATATTTTACTTCATGGGCTCGTCGGATTTTTTCTCCATTTGTTTCCACGTTTATTTCCCCCTGGATATGGTTAATTCGTCTTTTATGACCAATGGCCAATATATTCAGTTTTATTGGTGTTCAGACTAAGCTTATTTCGCCGCATCCATTCTGCAATGTTCTTACCCTCCATGCAAATGTCGTCTGCATACATTTTTGTTGAGTTTTTCTCTAAGCATCGCTCAAAATCATTTACGTATAGAATGAAAAGGAGGGGCCCAAGGCACGAACCCTGGGGAATACCATATTGAACCTTTTTTTGTTGTGAACTGGACCCATTGATTTGGCAGTATTGTCTCCTATCAGTTAGGTATGATGTAAACCACTGATGAGGGGCTCCCCCTGTTCCATACTTTGATAACTTAGAACTTAGAGCAGAATTTTGTGATCCACAGTGTCAAACGCTTTCTTCAGATCAAGGAAGATGCTAATATTTATTTTTCGTTTATCGGCATTTGAGAACCACGAGTCAGTAACATTGAGTAGTGAGGTCAACGTTTTGTGCAGCTTTCGAAATGCATGCTGACATTTGGAGAGCATGCTTTTTTCCTTCAGAAAGGTGGAGACCTGATCATGTGCGATCTTCTCGATCAGCTTGGAGAATACCAAGAGTATGAATATTGGCTGGTAGTTGTTCAAATCACTTTTCGATCCGGTCTTAAAGACTGATGTTACCCTGGCTACTTTCCATATGTTCGGAAAAACACCGCTTTCAAGAGAGGAATTGAAAATAGCTGCTAATGGCTTAGATAAAATATCAGCAGCGTCTTTCACTAGAAAACCATACAAAAAATTGCCTTGTTCTTGGTTTTAAGCATGACCAAAATGTTTTAGTCCCCTCAATCTGTAATATGCTCCACGGTCCTAGGCTCTGTCTCTATAACACCGATCAATATTTAACAGACCGGTGTAAAGTAATTTAATCATTCGGAAATTTTGAGAGACTTTTATCCATTTCATGCGTTGAAAATTTTTTGAATATGGAATCATCGCGAATCGGCCAGCGGCTAACGTATATGTTAATCATTTTTATATCATACTGTTTGTTTGTGCATAGGTTCCACTTCGGATGCTTTTTTGCATACCTGGTCATCTTGGCTACGTCACTGATGCTTGCTGCAACGTCCAAACATCCAACGCAGTATCATAATGGCACCGACAAATTCAGAGCGTTTTGTGAATGTTTGACTATCATTTGCACATTGGTCTATTTCGTGGTTGAAGTCGACCAATTAAAAAAGTAAGTTTCATTTGCTTCAAAGTTTTCTTGTTACTCTATTTATAGCTTAATAATTGTTACTCTTAAGCTCTATGGTGCCTTTTTTGTATTTTGCATGTGTGCTACTTCAGTATCAAACAATGTAACTTAATTTTGAAGGTTATGGTAAAATAATTGACAATGTAATTAGCAGAGATACCTTTTGTTAACCAGCTTGGAATCGTAAAAAAAACGTTTGGTACTTGCGTGGAATTCTTAGAAAAAATTTGGTAGAAGAGTGACTTTAATTTTTGGTTCAGTTGCAAAGTAAAGAATTATCGGTTTTCTAGAAAAAATCTCAAAATTCCTTTCTCCTTTAAAGGAAACCGTCAAGATAATTAGTTTATGGTTTAACGAAAATCGTCTTTTCATCTAGCAGTTTTGGAATCCATTTATATACAAGCGAAAAGGCCGACAGAAGTAGTTCGTTTTCTCTCTTGGACTTCAGTGATAATTTTTTATAGGTACGCATCACTGATTGGACAACTTTGCCGGTCATGTGATTGCGTTTTCTGATTGGCCTATTTCGATTCAAAACTGGGTATATATTTTCAATAGTGTTCTATCGGACCCTTATTCTGACGGTTTATACCCTGAGGAGTGTCAGACGAAAAACTTTAAGTAGTATGTTGTGAAATGTTTAAATTTTTTCAAAGCTATTTCCAAGCTCTGTACCGCAAAAAAAATTGTTTATAGTAACAACGATCCCACACTGGCAAACTGATAAATCCTTCTTTGATTTGATTTCTAAGATCTTTGATTGCAACTGTATGATCGGTAAACTTTGCATGCTTTGCTGTCAGGATTTTTTTTAAACATATACTTGTGTAATTTATTCAAAATACTCACTTGCTTCAAGCTTAATATCCCTAGATTTAGATTTATTTCATCCTGACAAATAAAAATTATTTCTAACCACAAAAGGACGAGGGGAAAAGGTATGAAAATGGCTTTGAAAAAGCAAAATCTGACACTCTTCAGAGTATAAAAGTCAGAGCATTAGGCAAGCGGCAGTGATTGAGCAACTTCAACAGTCATCAGCTCGTTTTTCTGATTGGCCTATTTCGAAGCATAACTGGATGTATATTTCCTAGCATAGAGTTTTCTATCTATGTTCTGACGTTTTATACTCAGATAAGGTATGGTAAAGATCTTTTCTTACCATCTTTTTTAATGTATTGAATGTATCTGTTCTCATAATTACCGCAAGGAATTAAAAAGGGCTGGAACTTTTTGATCCTTTTAGACCCATTGTATAGTAATTATTTTTATTCACTGGCAGAGTGCGCTCAAGCAAATGGAAGAAGATTAAGTTCCAAAACGTCGAACGAAATACGTTTTGATAAGATATACACTATTCTTTATGAGAACGCGCTTTGTAGAAACATCGAGGCTTGATTTTCCAGAAAACGAGAACAATATAAGAACATTCCCACTAACTTTTGAGTGGAAAATTTTTAATTGCAATGTCATACTGAAATTTTTCTCTCGTGTTAACAAAACAGAGGTTTTATAAGCAAATCTATCTTAGAAACAGTATATAGTTTTTAGTTGTAGATTTTGAAATAAGAACGATATCAACAACACCCATGCCTCAGATAAGAAGATCGAACCGCGTTAATAATGATGCGGTTCTTACAAAAACGATTGTACTGTACAGAATTGCTACGTCCAATAATAAATCCACAATAATCGGTCTCTCAAACAAAACATGACTTTGCTCTTTTTTGCCGCTTTTTGACTCTTATTAATGTTTACACTTTTCTTTGCAGGGAAGGCTTTAAGCTATATATTTGCAGTTTCTTCAACTGGGTTGACTTTCTCGGAATACTTGGTGTTTTGCTGATCATTCCATTGCGATATGCACGTGTTGATGGCCAATGGATAATCGCGTCCCTTGCATACATCTTAAACTTCCTCAGAATTTATAAATATTTTCCTGCATGGGAGTAAGTTTTCATTCAGTCTTTTTTAAAATTTGTTTGAATCTAATTTTGTAGGTGGTTTTTAGTTACTGGCCAAGGCGCTAGATCGCAAAATGCTGCGGGGATCACCTCTTATTTTACATTTTTTAGTTTGCATTTGTGATACTCAGTGGCGTAGCGTCCGGGTATTCAAGGTATTCAGTGAATACCCTGAGATTTCTCAGAAACAATATTAATACGACGTATAATTGTAATAAGTAAAAAATGTTTTGCGGCTATTGATTCTGTTTGAATTCGTTACCTCCGATATTCTACATTTTGTACAAGTACAAAATATCACGAAATTCATGGAAACAATAACGCTGCGAAGCATAGAGAAGCTGGGAGATCTTTGAAGCTAATTTTGAAGATTGAGCTACTTCATGTTGTATGGAGATCGGTCATGAATACGCAGTGAATACCCTAGCCCGTACTTTAACCAATCAAAATGCTCCTTTCCATGAATAATATTTGCCGTTAATGGTTCTGTACGCTGAGAAATATGCAGCGTACAGCCTCAAAGTTGGTTCAAAATAGTCTCGTTATGAGATCGATATAAACAGTTAATGAACGTCGGAGCGGTTGGAGTGATGGAGCTGCATCGAAAACAGTAAACATGACTTAATTAAAAAACTATTGCAATGTCCGTATTACTGTTTCATAACCATTCTCTCATTTGACCACTAAACTTAATCTACCAACAGTAAAGTGGAAAGGAAAGGTAGGCTGCTACATAATACTACACTGACTCAGATCTGTTCCCTCTTGAAATGACAATTTGTTATTGCTTGCAAATCAGGGATGTTTCTGTTTGTATTATGTGATAGAATTAAAGTAAATGCAGATAGGCCTGGATAATATCCTTATAGTTGCCTGGTGTATTCAGTTATCTTGTTGGCCTATTTTGTTTGCATTATTCGAGCGCATTTATTTGCATTATTGTGCAGTCTCATCTCATTACCTTCGATTCTTTCAAATATTTACTTGTATTGAAAATATCACGATTAGGCCATGAAGAAAAAGTCTATACTGCATACCACAATATCATTTATAACTTATGTAATGCCCTATGTGAATAATTGTGAAACTTTCGAAAGCCCTTTTGTATTAAGGTATCAAGAGAAGGTGTTTACAGTTACTTCCTCTTTACATCAGTGCAAATGTTAAACGATTCAACAACAACTATTGGGACATATTTCGACCAGTAAAATTTTACTGGCTTTCAATGATATGTTTTGATTTGAATTACTTTTGATGAAATGGTTAGTGGTAATTTGATGCAACGAATGAGTTCGAAGAGTATATTTGCGTTGGGTTCTTTAGCAAAGTATCGTTTTCATCATAGTAATGCCCTGACAGTGCAGTACTTGCCAACCGAACCAAAAAGAAAATTAGATAAAATGTCAATAGCTAGTCCTTTTAATCTTCCTACTATCCCCCTATTTTCATCAAGCCCCATCGAGCCACACCCTGCCCCACCCTTTTGTTTAATAGAGAATACCCAGTTGAAAAAGTCACGCTACGCCACTGGTGATACTGTAAGAACTCTACGGCCAGTGGTGCCGAGAGAGGAGGGAAGAGGGCAAATTGCCCCAGGGCCTCAAGGTCAAACTGCCCACATAAAGTAATAATTTCCATTTTAAGAGCGGAATTAATCACACGTAGCAGAAGTATGCTTAAAAATAAAGGCACCGCGGAGCAGGGCCTTTTTGCAAAAAATGCCAAATATTAAGCATTGAACTACCAGTAGAGTCTCTTTTATACGGTTTTAGCCCCCCCCCCCCACTTTGGGTGCCTGAAATAGTAAGATTTTTCAAACGATTGCAAGAATTAACTGCTAGAAGCACACTGAAATATATTTTAGGCCCATCTTAAGGGCGTGGTTGCACAAATTTTGTAAGATACGTCTTATTTTTCGGTTTTGTTCAGGGCCTTCGAAACCTCTCGGCGGCCCTGCGTTGTCCTACTTATCGAGATGTCCGTTGTCTAGAAATTGCTTATGCAAGGCTGTGACCATACATTTTGGGACAAATTCTTTTTGTCTGTTATTTAAAGGTATGCTATAAGAAGATAGCCTTGCAAACCATGATACACTGATGGTTACCTGCAACGATCTCAAGTAGCCTGCGTTTAGTCTCTTGCTTTAGAACTAGCTAATTGTGTTTATCACGTTCAGTTGTTGTGAAATGTCACAATTCCCACGATTTTCAATTACATTTGCCAATTATTTTTTTTATACTGCATTTAGAGAAAGTTTTCAAGATTTTCCCACAATGTTCATTGATTTCTCAACCTGTTTCTCTCCTGTTGATACCAAAATCTAGCTGCAGCTGAAAAAGCTTGAAGAATATTCAACAGTACAACCATTCTTAGCACATTTAAATGGGAAGGTGAATATTTTTGCTATTTTTCGTGTTTACTATATAGACATACCGGATCATCTGTTGGGGATGGGCTTAACGTAAGGATTCTCCTGTACATTGTATTTTTCTAACAGAAATGTTTAGCTAAGCAGTATCGCAAAATTTAAAACCGGATTTTGTTTGCTGTGCACACCATGATTTAGGTGCCAGGTGAAAAAATCATCAATCTACTTTTGTGTCTTATATCAAATCCTGGTAATGGTGTGCACAGTATATCGAAGATTTCTTACGTTAAGCCCATCCCACTCAGATGATTTGTATATGTATATATAGTAAACACGAGAAACGTCACAAATATCGCTTTTCCATTTAAATGTGCTAAGAATAGTTACGTTCTTTAAGTTTTTTCGCGAAATATTTTGGTTCTGGTACCCAGGGTAATCAAGGGTTTGAACAGCAGGTAATCTGCAACTTTCCCAGCGAATACCGTATAGTTCCGTTTATAGTCCTTCCCGGTTATAAGCCCCCCCCGGTTATAAGCCCATCAAATTGACAACACAAATTTCCTACCGGCTATTAGCAACCCCCCCCCCTCCTCCAATATAAGCCCATGTAATTTTTTGATCTGATAATCTGATAGAGAAAAACGGTCAAGATTATGTACTTAATTCCTTTCTTCGACGCAAAAATTCTCCCGGATATAAGCCCCCCGGTTATAAACCCCCCACAAATAGGCTTTGAAATAATATAAGCACATGGCCTATATTCGGTATTTTACGATATTTGATCATTGTAACTAATTTTCAATGCTTCTTATGACTATATCATTTGTTTGCTATCTTATCTTTATGTTACCTAGACTTGTCGGGGTGTATTCAAAGACATTGGCCATATTGTTCAAAAAGCATCTGACAATATTTTTGGCCGTTTATTTGATGGTATTCTTGACGTTCGCTGGAGCTACTATACTCTCTCTCCGCTCAGTCGTTACCTATGATGATAGCGCTGGATTCAAAAACACTGACGTTAGGTAGGTTTCGCATTTTGTCTTATGTTGCTTCCTTGAACGACCGCGTTTTGATCAGGTATTATAATATTCAGTACTATAATATACTGTTTCAATACTGTTTATTATATTAATACTGTTTCAGTTGATCATTTCTGATTAATAACATAATTTTAAGTTGTCCTTGATATGAATTCTAACCAACTTTAGTACATCATTTCAAGAGGCGTTCCTGTAGATATCGTCCTGTTGAAGCATCAGATTGTCGTGCCCTATTTTCGTCATGTAGAAAAAAACTTTAAAATTGTTGACCAACCAACCAACCAACCAACCAACCAACCAACCAACCAACCAACCAACCAACCAACCAACCAACCAACCAACCAACCAACCAACTAACCAACCAACCAACCAACCAACCAACCAACCGACCAACCATGCAACCGATCGATCAGCCACTTCACCCAACTAACTACCAACCAATTAACAACTACAATCAATCAATCAATCAGTCATTACATTCCAACAATCAGTCAACCAATCAACCAATCAATCGATCACTTTAGTTTCCAGTTTAGATCATGAAAAATCATATCAGGATCTGACTGCTCAGGGCACGCGCTTTGGGATGCGCAGGTCGTTACACCATATTACTAAAGAGTACTAAAGTGCGGAATCAGTGGCGAAGCCAAAGGTCCTGTTTGTCCTGCTGGGCAGGACCACAAATTTCCAAAGATACTAATTTTTAAAATAAGAAAAACTGATTCATGTTCTGAAATCATTTTATGCCTGATTCAAAGTATCTACATACAATTTATCTTGTATCGTATGAAACTGTCAGTAAAAGTTCTTTAAAGTTGCAGATAATAACCTTAATTGAGATATCCTTCTGCATATGGAAGATTTTCAATATCAAGCAAAGCTTTGCTGAACACTGCATTCTTTAAATATTACAGTTCTGGGTTTTTTTGCATTTTGTCAACATCACAACTATAACAACTATAACCTGATGCTGTGAATTTCGCGGCGAATCGCAAATTTCTAAATTTATCTTTCAAATCAGTTCGCTGTTTTGATGGAAACCTTTTCAGAGATACTTTTTCACTGATTTTGAATTAAACATAGCAAAGATGCAATATTATCCGATTGCCTAATAGTTTGATCTTAAATTTTCTTGCAGAAAAGCCAATGGCTTATTGCAAATTTGGCTCATTTGATATATTTTGCAAGTTTTTTACAGTGCCTTTAAAAAAGGCCCGCAATTGGTGCTTTAGTTAGATTGCTTTGATTTTGATCTGGCCAATTAAAGGTTTTTTCAACCAAAAATAGATGAAATTTCAAATAATATGACTATGCAAGGGTTATAATAATTTTCAATTCTTGGTCTTAAATTTGTTTCTAAGAACTCCAATAGAAGCAGAATCATTTTTTAGCATTTACATTCCCCCCTTTTTTATAAGAACTAGTAAATTTAAGTTCAGGCTGCCTGTTCTTAAATTTTACGAAATTCTGATACTGAATTGTTCTTAAATTAACAGGGTGTAGGAAATGCGATTGCTAGTTTTTTCGCTTAAGGGAGGTGTTCAGGCCTTATTTGCCAACAAAGTGAGTGAGACAGCCTTCATTTGCCGACATGTTTGACGGAAAAAGCACCAACACAAGGCTAAAATCCTTGTTTTTGAAATTAAACGTCGTTCATAATTGCTTTTTACAGTATTTCTGCCTCAGCTTGTTCTTAATTTCTTAACTTTTGACCAATTTTAAGGCTCGCGCTCCTATAAAAAAAGGAGTGTAATCCATATACAAAGTTTGTAAAATAGTCATTATAAAGAAGATGCAAAAATATTGCTAAAGATAAATCACTTGAGGAGTTTTGAAAAAATATTTTGACCTGATTTGTGTCGGCATATAATTTAGCTACATGAACGTTAGAACATTAAACTTAAGACCAAAATTATATACATTATTCCTATCCTATTTTGTGTTTGACGGTCTTTGTTTCATATGCCAACACATCTTTAAAGTTGAATTTAAACTCTCTGTTTTGATCACCAATTTAAAGTGCCCGCTTGGTTTCTTAGGAAATTAACGGCGTTGATGTCTCCACATTCTTTAATCCCAGGAAGGAAAACTCGTAAAATCGTAAATAGATACTGCAGATAATCAATTTCTTTGTAAAATTTTCACCTGGCCTTTTCAAATTTGAATAAGATCTAATGTTTTGAAGATGGCTTTGAAAAAAGCAAACATTTCACAACATAACCCTCATAGAAAACAGCCTCCTCGATCTTGTAGGTCTAGAAACACTGTTAAAACAAGTAATTATGCCATCGGTCAACATCTTTTAGACAACCCAGATTGTGCAAAACTCTATAATGACGACATGTTTCGGATAATTGACAGAGCCCGGTCGTCCTTTCATCTAGCAGTTTTGGAATCGATCTACATATAGACGAAAAAGCCGCCATTGTGTAGACAGAAGGAGTTCGTTTTCTCTCTTGGACTCCAGTGGTAATTTTTTTTAGGCACGCGGCACTGATTGGTCAACTATACCGGTCTTGTGCTTGCGTTTTCTGATTGGCCTATTTCGATCCACAACTGGGTAATTATTTTTCATCGTGTTCTTTCGGACCCTTTTTCTGACGTTTCATGCTCTGAGGAGAATCAGACGAAAAAGATTTTAGTTGATATGTTGTGAAATGTATGCTTTTTTCAAAGCCATTTTCAAGTTTTGTACCGCCAAAAACTGATCTAATGTTTTGTATTGAGAGAAACAACTAGATTCGGATAAGAAAGTCTGCCGCTCCAATGTATAACCAGCCAAATATTATCTCCTATGCCACTTAATTTGGTACCAAATTTTTTTCTCTAGATACTCGTAAGTAATAGCTATCTAAACATGTCTGCAAAATATTGCCACGATCTGGGGTTTCTAAGACGGTTTGTGACTAGAATTCAAAGAACCAGCCTAATATCGTACTGCATTAAAAAAACAAAATACAGTCAATTTCTCAAGAGAACTGCCGCTAAGCATGCTGGTTGCGCAAGAGCCTTTTAAGTTGCTTATCATTCCTGCTAGTCCTGCTAGTTCATTTTTTTCTTGGTACTATTTTCTGCAGGCACGGCGTTTCATAACAAACCATCCTGTTTTCATTTATTTTCTCTATCACACTATAGGCCTATTTATCCCTGTCTGCAATACAAGCAGCCTCAGTAGTTTCAGCACCGTTTGCATTTGCAATAGCTTTAATTTTCTAAACAATCAGCCAATCCTTTGCTTCCGCATTACCCTCTTGCTCTACGCATTAAGCAATAAAGGGGTTAGAGTACGTGTCTGTCACATTCCCTGATGATTCTCAAGCCAGTTTGTAAGACATTTTACCGTTGCCAGTTACTATCTACATAGTTCAAATATATGTACTAGATGTGCTGGAAAACCCTCTTTCAGCGACTTCGACTGTGTTACCTTAATGGCATCTGACCATGTTAATGCACATATACATGCTAACTCACCATATGGCTTTCCATCTCATCAAGATGAAACAATAAATATAAGACGTAGGAATTACTCGACACCTTGCATAGTTTCTTCAATCGTAGTGGAATGGCTTTTTACTGCCTTGGCGACTGATTTGTAAAGATCACCCTGTGGTATTTTCGCTCTATTTCCCCTTTGAAATCATTTAGACCCCGTTAAAACTACTGAGAACGGAACGAATTGCCGTAGCTCCTTGTCTGGGAAAGCGGCGATAAGCCTTGCGTTACACTAGGTATCTTGACTCCGTGCTAGTTTGGCAAAGGTTCTGTTCTTATTAGCGAAACTCTATGTTTTCCTCTCCAAATCGTGCTAATTTTATCTAGTGTGAACGGTCAGGAACGGAACTTTTTGGTTACGATTGAAAGCGCGACTAAAGCTAGTGTTGGAGCGAGGCTTTCTGAAAATTCCGGATATCATCGCCGCGTTACTGCGCATGCTCCACATGAAAGTTAAGTTCTTTTTACTCAAGTGTAGACTCAAGTGTAGAATTTTGGTTCCGTTCAATTTTGCGTTTTATTCATTCTAAACGGCGTGCAGGCAGTTACGTAGATAGGAAATTTCATAGGAGGGGCGAAAAACTGAGGTTTTCCGACAAAAATCTAACAAACATTTTTAATTCCTTCAGACATTTGATCATAACATAATGACATTAGAACTGAAATAAAGCAGGAGATAATCTTTTAAAACAAGTCTAATCTTTTAGTCAATTTCAAATGTCATAAATCATACTAATTGAAGATTTTATGGTCTTCTCCTTGCAAAATGTATTTGCTAAATGTAAGTTGCCAATCTGATCCAGAACAACTGAAGAAATCGTTATAATAACCTTAAAAGAATTTCCTCTCAAAATGTAATACTTGAATAAAAATAGATAACCATGTTTTATTTCTGACAAGATCAGAAATATTCCTAGAAATAGCGGTTTAGCTCTACGGGGGTTTTTTGGCCCCCATGACCCCCCTTTATCTACGCCACTGCGTACAGGTACTCCCACATACTCTCGCCAACAAACATTGCTCTCAGTTGAGTACACAACATGAATCACAGTTGGCACAGAGTCCACAAAAAAATATTACTTAGTTGGGGGGGGGGGGGGGCTAAAAAGTTTCTAGGGTCTAAACTTGCTATAAGCCAGGAGCAAGATGATTTTTGTTTGATTTTAAGTTCCTTTTGGGGAATTTTTTTCGGGGGTGGGGGGTGGGGGAGGCTTTAGCCACCTCAGGCCCTGACTTCCACGCTACTTCACATTATTATTATCTAGACATGCCAAATTGTTGGCTTTCCTTTTATCAAATTTGTGAGGAAATACTTATCCAAGCTATTTTTGACCAGTAAGCTGGTTGCGATGTTTCTTGAGTTTTTCCCACAAGTCATAAATAACTGTATTGTATATGGTGACAAATGAAACCGCGTCAGCCGTCCCGAAGGCCCTTCTCAGAGTCAGAAAAACATCACGTCCCCACGGCCACTGGCCAGAGGAAGGCTGTAGAAACAAAAGAAAATTGAGGAAGGTGACCAAAAATTTTGTAAATTGGGTAAATTGAAAAAAATCGTATTGCATTTTGGTTTTTAAAATACAGTCAGACAAAATAAGAAAAAAATCAACTTATATTAATAAACCTCCTGGTTTTCAATATGAATGTGTTTGCAGAACTGCGTTGCACTGTAAAATTTAGACATAAACGTTTTATAATTTATGTATCTAAATTATGACAAGCTTTGTCATTAACTGATATAAGCATGTAACTTAACTATCGCAAAAATATCTATTATTTAAAACAAGCCACAAATGTTTTAGAAAAACAGATTTGCGAGGAAAAGGGATTAAGACCATCTGAGTACCCTGAGTACCCCTAACATTCTGACCACGCCCATTTTATTCCCAATTAAAAAAGGGGCGGATCTAGCGGTAGGGTAGGGGTTGCGATATCCCTCCTGTATCTGTGTCCTTCAGTAAATTTTGCTTTTATTCGGTAAAAAAAACATTTTACTTCATTTATCTTCTTATCTTCTTTACCTTAAAATCAAAACTCAATTTCGAAAGTGGGTGTTTTCATCATTTTCCAGTGACCTGAAGGGTGTGGCACCAAAATCCAATTAGTGTCTAACCAAATTGGGAAACATGTAGGCTTTTATAAAAATGAAATTTCGGAGGATTGTGCGGACTTTCTCTGCTGGCCCTTGGGAAAACCATGATGCCTGGCAGGTTGTATTGTAACTTCAGAGTTGTTCTACCATTACGCGATAGCCCTGTTACTTACAATACACCCTTTTTTATAAGAACAATTTTAAAGTACATGAGCTTCAAAATTGGTCAAAAGTTAAGAATAGATTAAGAACAAGCTGAGGCTGAGCTACTGTAAAATGTAATTTTCAACAACGTTTTATTTCAAAAACTAGGATTTTTAGCCTGGTGTGGGTCCTTCTTCGGTAGATATTCAAACCTTTGGCAAATGAAGGTTTTATCGCGCACTTTGTTGGCAAATGAGGCCTGAACACCTCCCTAGAGCGAAAAGCTAGCAATCGCACTGCTTATACTCTATAAATCTAAGAACAAATTAAGAAAAATCCAACCTCAGGTTTTCGAAAAAATTAAGAACAATCAGCCTGAACTTAAGTTTACTGCTTCTTACATGAAAAAGTGTATTGGTATAAACGAGAATGATTTAGTGATAACCCCTAAACGATTTTTATTGATAAGAGCCCCTAAACGATCCTCCTCGATCACTTCATCTTGTCCCCATTTTGGACTCTTAATTGCATAGAATGTAGCTGTCCTTTTATACGTAAGACCCCCAGCATGCCACGCGCCAACCCTGATCGGCTCGCAAACTATCCCAATGTTTCGGATGTCTTGAACGGATAAAGGTCCTTTGCATCTCGCCCGCAGTTTCATTTGAAGCGCAAACCGAGCTGTAGAGGTCAACAGTCTGATCTTCTTTTCTACATCAATTAAACTTCCAGATGTATTCCGGAGCTATTATAGCAAAAGTAGGGGATCTGGCGCTCTTTCTATCACTGCAGTACCCTCTTTTTTTAGAGACATGTCCGCTGAGTATCTGTTACGAAACATGAAGTTAATTCGCTTTTTTTCAGTTTTGAGGTTTTCTCAAGTGTCGTTTTGTTGCTTTAAGAAAATCGAGCGTCTCATTTCATATCATTTTTGAAAATCAACAGAGTAAATTTTGCTTCCATTCGGTAGAAAAACATTTTACTTCATTTATCTTCTTATCTTCTTTACCTTAAAATCAAAACTCAATGACCTGAAGGGTGTGGCACCAAAACCCAATTAGTGTCTAACCAAATTGGGAAACATGTAGGCTTTTATAAAAATGAAATTTCGGAGGATTGTGCAGACTTTCTCTGCTGGCCCTTGGGGATAACCATGATGCCTGGCAGGTTGTATTGTAACTTCAGAGTTGTTCTACCATTACGCGATAGCCCTGTTACTTACAATACATCCTTTTTTATAAGAACAATTTTATAAATACACGAGCCTCAAAATTGGTCAAAATTAAGAATAGATTAAGAACAAGCTGAGGCTGAGCTACTGTCAAATGTAATTTTCAACAACGTTTAATCTCAAAAACTAGGATTTTTAGCCTGGTGTGGGTCCTTCTTCGGTAGATATTCAAACCTTTGGCAAATGAAGGTTTTATCGCGCACTTTGTTGGCAAATGAGGCCTGAACACCTCCCTAGAGCGAAAAGCTAGCAATCGCACTGCTTATACTCTATAAATCTAAGAACAAATTAAGAAAAATCCAACCTCAGGTTTTCGAAAAAATTAAGAACAATCAGCCTGAACTTAAGTTTACTGCTTCTTACATGAAAAAGTGTATTGGTATAAACGAGAATGATTTAGTGATAACCCCTAAACGATTTTTATGGATAAGGGCCCCTAAACGATCCTCCTCGATCACTTCATCTTGTCCCCATTTTGGACTCTTAATTGCATAAAATGTAGTTGTCCTGTTTTACGTAAGACCCCCAGCATGCCACGCGCCAACCCTGATCGGCTCGCAAACTATCCCAATGTTTCGGATGTCTTGAACGGATAAAGGTCCTTTGCATCTCGCCCGCAGTTTCATTTGAAGCGCAAACCGAACTGTGGAGCTCAACAGCCTTGATCTTCTTTTCTACATCAATTAAACTTCCAGATGTATTCCGGAGCTATTATAGCAAAAGTAGGGGATCTGGCGCTCTTTCTATCGCTGCAGTACCCTCTTTTTTTAGAGACATGTCCGCTGAGTATCTGTTACGAAACATGAAGTTAATTCGCTTTTTTCAGTGTTGAGTTTTTCTCAAGTGTCGTTTTGTTGTTTTAAGAAAATTGAGCGTCTCATTTCATATCATTTTTGAAAATCGACAGAGTTCATCAGAGTAGTAAATTTTCCTATAATAAACTCATTATTCAGATAAATATAGTGATCTTTGATATTCTAAGGACTGTAGTTTAAATCTACACATTTCAGAAACCGGTATAGAAAGGAGTGAAGTGGACGAGCAGTCCCTTTTCGAGGTAAACTTTCCTTAAAACTCGAAGTAACAACATATACTACCCAGTTGTGTAATTGAAGTTGATATAGATTGAGATTTTTGCTTGTTTTTACATTTCCAATTTGCTAAGAAGCAAATTTCAAGCTCTCCGCTCTTGTTTCAGCGGTCTTGGCGATGTTTTTTTCCGTGGAGTGAAATCACTCGTCCAGGCAGAAGCCTTTGCGAGTACTTATACAACATATGGGTAAGTTTTAATCATAAATTATATTCCAGTCATTGATGTTTTGTTTTCTTCCTTATTCGCTCTGATCTTAGCCGTTTAAAGTTATTGAACAGTTGAGGTGCTTCTGCTACATCAACTTCATCGCTCGAATCTTCAGACTGTCTTCTCCAGTCCCGGTACCTTCTGCCCTACTTCGGTTTTTTTTATTCTCCGCTCAACAGTAAAATGCGTTATTTTAATGCCTCTTATGATGTCCCTTCGCGGTTTTAATGAAACTTCCCCTGACTTCCAGTTAATATTTTAATTGCTTGAATCATGACCAATTTTTAATTGGAAAGCAAGAAATGTACTGCTTTGCTAGAGAAGATCTGTAGCGTATCCACGGTAGGTGTATCGCAAGGATCTCTCTTTGGGCCTATCATATTCAATGTCCATCAGAATGAAATTTTGCAAATATTTTGATAACTATTTTTCCAGTATTGGATGGCAAGCATGAAAAAATAGTAAACATGTTAAGAAGGTAAAATTTAATCGTTTCAGAGCGGGTCCAGCGTACCTATGTGAACATAATAAAAAGTGCCATATGTGTTTCGGTGATGTAAATAATAATTTGCTGATATGACTTTTGAAAATCTTTCTTGTTGATATGGTTTGCCTGTTAAAACTAAACGTTAATGACATATTATATGGCATTAAACACTTTTTACTTTCTACTTACAATCAAGGCCAAACCGAGTTTCAAGGGGAATAAAGTTTTTCGAATTGTCATCAAATCGTCCCAAGTTGACCTAAAAAAGCATGATTTTGCTAAAAATTTTGTTTTTTGAATTAAGAAAATTCTGTTCTGGCAAGGAAATTATTAAACTTTTGACTGTAATATGGGTTGAATTTATATTCTTTTTTGGAATCAATTAGCTCCGGCTACTCCAAAGCATACTGTCAGGGTCGTCGCTAGCTTTTGTGTCCAAGAAGGGTGTCCGGATCTCATTTGCCGACAAAGTTGGTGGCCCACACTTTATTCGCCGACAACTTCGCCGAAAGCCGAACAAGCACCTTTAGATGACAAAATTACCATTTTTAAAATGGAAATTTATCTAGAGGGAGGGGGGGTTGTCACAACCCCCACGCTCCCCATAGTTACAGATCCGCCTGCTGTAAAACAATCTATCATAATAAAACTAAAGTAGTAAAACTTCTTACACAAGTGCAGTTTCAACTGAAACGTTTAATGTTCATTGTCGTCAGGACAGTTCGCGCTAATGCGTTATGCGCGAAGCATTGAGGTACAGTTCAAAGCCCTGTCCACACTACACAAACCAACCCAGGTTCGCCTCGGGTTAAATCTAACCAAGGGCGAACCCTGTTTTGTCCACACTTGATTTTCAATATGTTAATGTGTGGATACAAAGTCGGGGTGAACCCAGGCTAATGCTACGCATGCGTAGTTAAATTTGAACAACAACAAAACAACGACAACAAAACAAATCTTCCACAAGCGCGATCAAGATGGAAGTTGCCGAAGTTGCAGTTTATTGTATTCTGTCTAAAATGTTTTTCCTGGCAATGCAGTTTATTCAAAAAAAATATCAAATGGCACTGCAGTCAAGATTAAACAGAATATTGGCTGCATTTCGCAAATGGATTCGACAGTATAAGAGATTCAAATCACAGAGAATAAAAGAAATTTGAAACATGTCTTAAACAAAGTATCACTTTAGGGTGCATTCAACCAGTAGACGTGAGAAGAAAATACTGATGCAAAACTTCAAGTAAAAACTGGTGGGACTCGATTGTATTGCATCGTTTTGAGGCATATGATTGGCATGCGTTACAAAAACTAACCCAGGTTCGCCCCAGGCTTGTATCCACACAAGAAGATCATAACACTAACCTGGGTTCGACGCAGGTCGAGCCCACCTCTGGAAATGGGTTAAACTAACCCAGGACGAACCCAGGCTAGTTGTGTCCACATTGCAAAATCTAACCTGGGTTAGCAAAACCTAGGGCGAACCCGGGTTAGTTTGTGTAGTGTGTACAGGGCTCAAGAGATCTGGTTCTTCCCGTCTAGGTCTACAAGCAACACATGTCCTATCTGTTCTCTTCAACGAAAACCAGTAAACAGTAATACTCATTGTCAACAGAAAGATTTATCTGTTGAATCAGGGTCTCGTCAGTGTATTCCATCAACAACGACATTGTATTCCTTTATGTTTAGAAAGCATCTGTCAATGACTCTCGTTTTTTTCTTAAGCTCATGTCTGTACAAATGTTTGCCTATATCAACAGGTTGCAAATATTGGTGTAGCTAGTTACATTTTCATTAAAATCGAAAGCCCTCGGATGATAAAACTTTCAGGCAAAAAATTATCAGACAAAATTTTCGTCAGACAAAATTTTTATCAAAAGATTGCTCGAAAGCTGGTAATGGCACAATATCAGACCACATGACGTAAAAAATGCGAGTCTTCGCCGTAATGAGCAGCCTTCGAAGTAGAAAACCATTTAGGCCTACGACGACGGACTCGCTGCAAAATCTCGCTGCAAATTGCTTTTACTATCTTTGTTTTTGTTTGAAAAATGATGGATGGAAACATTTGGCGGTGTTTCATTTGCTACCACAGCTAATCTCGTTCGGACTTCCCACCAAACCTCTCTTTCCTTTATTTTTTTGCAAGTTGATTTCTAACTTGGTGAAGATGTTCAATACATGTTTCAGAACAAGAATTGATACATTAGAATAAAATAAATCAGTTGTCAGGCTACGTTGCCAAATCATCAAGAGTATGCTGGACAGTTGATGCACATGCTCAACTCGATTAACCTACCAAATACCCAATTGAAATTTTGAACATTGAATGGACGTGCAAAACCTCCTTTTTTAACTATGAGCCGATACACTAGTCCTATCTTAAAGCATCAAATCCTCAATTGACCAAAAGGTGTTCAGAGGTGGGCGAAGCTTTCACATTGCAGGAAAAAAAATCAAAATTTCGGGGGTTTTCATTTCATATAATTCATGTAAAGAAAGAGAATATTCATATAAAGGTCCTTGAAAAATGGACAGTATACTTGTAATAAGGATTCACAAGCCAAGTTAGGCCCACGCTATGCTGAATCCTGAAATACTTCTTATTCCGTCAAGGAATAAAATGGCTATGAAACCACACACCCAGCCCTAGTATACCAAACCTTCGTAAAACCAAAGTTTTTTAAGTTTTTTTATACCGAGGCAGTTTGAAATGTCATGAAGTACTTTCTTATGTCTTTCTTATGACGCACAAAAAAGAATAAACATTTCACATTTCTTAGGAGAAAACTCCAACTTTGAAAAGTAATAGACTGAGGACGACATCTTGCACTAATTAAGTTTGGTTTTTGCACTCATAATGATGATTTAGATCTTCAAATTTAGTATAATAAAAAGCAATCAGAACTTTCACGTCATAAGCACTTCAACATGTCCTGTCGTCGTGGGCTATCTTTGAGCTGGGATTTATTTATAGTGCGCTTTCATTTGTCCGAACGTTTCTTACAAGGTGTTCAACGACTGTTTCTCATTTTATTCTGCCACCTGCATCCATGAGGCACAAGGCCTATCGTATTAATTTATTTTTTGTTATGCTTTTTTCTTTAGCAAATCTCAAGCCATCTTGTTTTTTCATTCTCCCATGCAGGAAAAGACTGCCTTTCTTGATCTCGGTTACTTGCCTTTTATCTTCAGAAACCTGGAATTTTTTTTGTTAATAAGTCAAAAACTTCAAAGTCCTGCCTCAAATTGCAACCAAATCAATGCTTGGCTATGCGTGGTACCTGAAATTCTTTTTGGCTTTTTATAATCTTATTAGTTCTTCACGTTCGTTGGTCGTGCTACGTTAATTTTTTACAAAAACCAGATATTTTTTGCCAAGCCTTGATGTTATCATTTTAAAAAGTTATGCCGAAGCTTGATATTACAATGGTCTTAATATTGCTCCTATTGCAACATTGAATTTCCTCAGCTACATACTATTGATTGTCTCCGAGACCATTCCATAACAGTTTTGTAAGACATTTTTAGAAGCGCGGTCGATTTTCTGATAAAATCTGCCCTGTTGGTTAACACGATAGACAATTTTCAAAATACATTGTTTTTTCGTCTAATTTTTGGCTATGCATGTTCTTGCGTGGTTCTTATTTTGTCAAGTCGACCCCCGGTGCTCTAAGTGTATTTTTACGTGTTTAATCAATACGTGTTTATCATGACTGTCTCTTCTTTACCAAGATGGTCAAATATATACGTTTTTGTATACGAAGAACGAGCACATTGCTTCTTAGTAATGCGATTACATAAATCTCATTACGATGATCTTTGGTTAAGTCCTCAGGCCTTTGCTAAAAGCACGGCTCGTACGAAGTTTCTGGATATTTAACTGTTAAAGGGTGACAAATTCTTCAATTAAGTTTAAAAAACGTGTTTTGATGAGACGTGAAACACTGAGTAACAGTGCAGGAGACAATACAGCACCGCCTCAGTAACATCATTAATTTTATTATTTTAATATCTGAAAGGGATTAAATATTGTTGAGAAATTGCTTGATTTGTCTAAAATAAATACTTGAATTTTCTTTAACGAAAATTGTCTCTTTCTTCTCGTTGTTAATGAAATTAGTTGTGAGATGTTGCTCTTCTTGAAAACGAAATAGGATGTGTTTGGACCACAATGTTTTAGTAATACCCATTTCCCTTGTGAAATGATGTCGCCTCACTCCCTACCTCATACCAAATTAAAAACAATTCACAAATTCACAAAACTGGTAATAGTTTATGAAACTGCTATAGATAGCATCACCACACTTGGGCCTAGAAAGTTTCGAAGGCGTCATTTGCAACTGCTATTCACATAATCATACAGTATCTTAGCCATTTCAGTTCTCACAGAGCACCCCCAAAAAATCTCTCCAAGGCCCTAAATATTTGCAAATTGTATTTTTCATAACAAGCAGTCGTTCGGTTGCAGACTTCAGTGCCTTAGGAATGATAATATTTTATTTGGAGGGGAAGCATCATTTTTTCTAGAACAACAGGAAAAAGAAATGGGGCTGTTCTTTGGAAACAAAGGATCGATGGTTACACAGGAGGCTTTGGGGTAACACTTGGGGTAACAAAATTTTTGTGACCACAGCTTTCTAATGCCCAGAAAAACGTTTTCATCTTGTTACAAAATTTTTAATAATATTGCTTAAGTAGTTTAAACGAAAAGAAGTTAAACTTTCATTTATCAACTTGTTTGATGTTCTATTTCCATCAAACGACTGGATAATTTTCAAACCATTCAATCTAGAAGAAGATACACTACCCAGTTTTTATATGGAACTAAGATTGACACGCGGTTTCTTAATTTTTTCTTGATTTTTTTGCTTAAAGTTTCTTGAAGTTTTATAACATATATGTAACATTCTTTATAGCTACTTTTTAGGAACACAAATAAACTCCTTTTGCAAGGAGATATTTTTCTATAATCTATGTCAATTGAGCAGAAAAGGTACCTTATTGTCAACAATCATTTCCATGCCACCTTGAAAAATGATTTTCGAGCAGTTTCTTTAGGTTGAGGATGATTTTCGAGCAGTTTCTTTAGGTTGAGGATGATTTTCGAGCAGGTTATTTATTTATTATTTCTCGGTTTATTACAAAACAAAGTGCTTTGAAATCAGTTTCGAATCTATTTGATTTTATCTAAGGTTGTGAAACCAGATTATGACCCTGGCGAAATTTTTTCTGTAATTCAATTAATTTCTACAATGTCTATAAAATTTCTTAATTTTTATGGAAATGTGCTTATAGGCCGGGTTACACGATCATTTTAGTATTTTATTAAACTGCATTTATTTTTTTGTAATTGGCTGCTTTTCGATTTACTCCATATCATTATTCATATTCGTTTTCTGCTAATAATTATGTTTCTGAGCACAATTCACGTCTTTTTTTCTTTTCGCGAAACTCTAGGCCGTTCCCTTCTCATCAAAACATTATGTGACGTAAGAATTTGTCGGCGCCTTTGAAAAAAATGATGATCTCGATTTTACTCTGCTTTCGTTCAGAGTAAAATTTCCAATGATGGAGGATTAACAGCAGATAAGCGCATTAAATTCTGCAGCGAAAATTGTCAATTTAAGGGCCTGTTGATATGAGCAAAATTATCCCACCTTCCAGCATATGGGCTGGCAAGTGGGATAAAATCACCGCATGTTTACATGCAAATTTCATTCCACCTCCCAGCATGTTGCTTCTTTTTCATCCCAACTCCCAGCTGTCATTCAGGCATGGGAATGAGAATATCCTTGGCAAGAAAAAAATTTCTACCTCCATAAATTGAAGGCAAGAAAAATAAAGAGATTACAGCGGTTTGGGTCAAGCCTGGGCGTACCGATTCGTGGTGGCAAAACATGATCAATGAGCAGGCCCTGGAAGAGTTATGGAAGAAAAATTTCAGGGTTTCCAAGAATTAATTTCATGATCCTTGGTACGTGAGCTTAGACTTGTATTCATTCAAGCAATTTAACAAATGGCGGATCTTCTCATTGTTCCGACGAAAAGACTTCACACTCGTGGACTTAACTCCTTCGTTTGTCGCCTTTTTTCTTGAAAGAAGTGAATTTGCGCTTGCGCACAAGTGCTAATTTCATCCCACCTTTCAGCCAGTTGAGCGTTTATATGTGAAAAATTTGATGCCAACAGGTGAGGTCCGGCAGGCTGAGAGTAGGATCTCACTTGCCCCGGATAAATCGTTTCCCATGTAAACAGAAGATCGAAATTACAAAGCTTTGTATACGAAGGCTGGATCTCACCTCCCAGCCCAATGGCTAGAAGGTGGGATAATTTTTCCCATATAAACAGGCCCTTAGTATGTTGCACGATCACTTTTCAGCATGTTGGTCCAATATCGAAAAAAGTGACGGTAAAAAGTGATCGTCTAAAAAAATGTTCACGTATACGATTTAAGTCTCAGCAATCTCTACTATGTCAGCAGGATACCAAAACAGTGGTGGAAATTGCGGGGATGTGGGGGGGGGGGGCAACTGTCACCAGGTTTTGCTACACTGTCGGTTTTGTCGGTAAATTATTTCATTTGTCAACAAATTTATTGCTTTTGTGGACATTACCCCCACCCCCACCACCACCACTTCAAAAATAAATTTCCGCCACTATACCAAAAAGTACTTTTAACAATCCAAAATAGTCTTTTCTAAATTGAAAGTTGCTGTGATTTTTTGTTGAGTATCACTTTAGAAAGAAACAACGAAACAAAATGTTTGGCTATGCAGGTGTTCAAATAAGCGCTTGTCAAATCATTTCATTGTTGTTTTTTGATATTATATTAAGCGTTTCTTTAAAAAAGAGCTGCAAAAATTATTTTATTTGCATTTGCAAGCGTTTTCAATCAAAGTTTAACCCAATAAGCGTGCCTTCTACTCCAACCAAAAGAATATCCTCTGACAACGTTGACGAAATGGATAGGAACTCAATATTTTTTGTTTCCTTACGTTTAAGAATTATTCTAGAGAGCAAGATACTTGTGAGCAAGATCCGAATTGTCGTCTTTAGCAATAAATAAGAGTATAGTAAATTGAATTAAAAACTCGTTATGTACTATAGTTGATGACAAGAACGCTAACTGAAGTTAGCGAATCTTTTAAAAAAACTCTCTCTAAAAGCATCTGCCTTGAACACATTATGAAAAAATTGACAATAACTGGGTGTACAGGAGTAATTTTAGAAATTACTTGCCTGTGAATGTTTGTGGATGTTGTTTTGAGAAAATCATAAAACTCCTTCTGCCCCGTTTTAAAATCTCTTTCCATCACTTAGGGGCAGATCATATAATCAGCCTCTTAAACAGTGCAGACACAATAAGCTCCGTAGACATAAATTCTTCATATATCTATCCTTCAGCATTCGATACCATAAACACCTGCAATATCTAAAAAGCGACTCCATTTATGCAACTGCTGCGCAGCCTATGAGCACCTGCTCCATTTACTGTTTGTACTGTACCCAGCTCAAAGATATAAAAGCACTATCCGGCTTGATAAGCATTGTGTTGCAGTTTGTGAGTAGGCTGACCTCAAAGAATCTTCGCTATCAAGCAGATATTTTGACACTTTTTTGGGGCGCATTGGAAGGCTGGTAAGAGGGCACAGCAAATCTTCTTTTCGTTTCACGAAAAAAAGCATGTAGCTTTTTCAAAGGATTATCGAGCGGCGAGTCGAAGTTCCAAGTACTAACACGTACATCAGTATCTTCTGTTTGGTACTGCTGAACATCGTCTTCAATTCTTCTGTACCAAAGGAACCCAAAACGGCGTGTCTTTATGACAGCAGATTTCCCCTTCGAGTGCTGTGCCAATCGTTCTTACAGAATTCGTAGAAGACTCTCTGATCTTAATTCGCCCCAAGTCGAATGGTGAGAGAAAGGACGGTGACAGTTTTTTTCAAGACCTAGAATAGCCCTTGCCGTGAGTTTCAAATGGCGGTTGTACATATCATTTTGCTCTTGCTGTTATCTTGCGGTCTTGGTTTAAACGGGGTTCAGTTGTTCATTACAGCGAAGCGGAAAAAAAAGAGTGTATATGAAATGCTCATTCTCAACTCGTCACTTGCAAAACTACTTTGGAACACTGCCTTAATTGTTGCTACAGCAGTTTTTCTAGCAGGGCTAACTGCAAACGATTCTATAATTCAAATCTTCTTTTGGCTCATGTTTTGCTGCAATTTCAATCACATGCTATGGATTTCTTTGGACAGACTCCTTATCGTCAAAGCTGCGCTAAGGTAAGCCCTTTGACAACATATTATATTTAAAATGCCATAGTGCCGTAGCATGATAGCCATTGGCAACTCAACGGCAAATCGTCGTTTTCTTTTACGCTGCACAGCAGCGAAACACATGGTTTTGATTGTTTCGGATTTTTCCTTCTTTCTAGATTCAAGCAAAATAGTGTAATTTTACGATAGTTAACAACAGCTTTTTCTTTAAGTCCGATCATCTCAATAGTCATTCAGATGCATGAAAGAAAAATATTCCGTGACAACTACACCTCCTTATTTAAGTAATTCCCTGCATACAATTTTTCCCCACTTTTGTCTTCTTATATTGTATCATTGTATTAATCTCCTTTGAACATTGTCTTATTTCCTTGTAGTCTTGTTTGTTATTATTAAATTTTATGTAGTGGAATTATTAATATATGAACTGAACTGAACTGAACATGAATTTAGGCAATTTTATAAAGTTGATAATAATAATCATCATCATGATTATCATCTTTTATCGCCATCAATCAATCAATCAATCATTACAGTCAAGCAGTCAGTCTCAAGCAGTCAGTCAAGCAGTCAGTAGCAATCAATCAATGTCAATCATAATCATCCCCATCGAGATCATCATAATCGTCATTTTAATCATTAAATGGATCAATCAATGGATCAATCATTAAATCAATCAATTTCGGTCATAATCATTGCCATCAATATACAATGTCAGATTCCTTATATGTTATCACCATAAATTAAAGAAAACTGTCAAGATCTTAAAATCGCAAGCAAAAATGTAGCTTTTGCTTTCCCAGCACTCATTGTATTGACACGCATTCCTTTGCCCACATTTATTCTTACCTATCTTTTCCTATTCTTCTTGTGAATTTATATCCTGCTTAAGGTGGTCCCACTCTTCATAAAAAACTATCCATAAAAAATATTCGAATCCCGATTACACCAATGCAAACCTGAGTCAAAGATTCAAATCCTGAGTAATTGAAATTGTTCCTTTTGCGCTGAGTTGCAGGAAACTAATCTGAGCAAAATGTTTTTTGGCTGCTTGAAATGCCTGAAAAAAGATGCAGAGAAACGCCAAAAAGCTTAAAAAATTATTTTTGCAAAGAAAAGGCCAGTTTCTTGACTCTTCTGTCTACATGACTTGCCCGATTCTGTTATTTCATACGTTGTCATCGTGACATTCTATCTTCAGCGATCCAATGTAATATAAATTCTTTCAAGCCCTTTCCAGGTTTAAACACTGCGCAGAAATGTGCGCTGAATAGCAAAATAAATTCAGTTTGGATTCAAAATAATTTTTTTCGTGTCTGTAGCAGAGGCGGATCCAGAGTGAGTTCCTTGGCGCACAGAACTCAGTCAGTTTTCCCACATATAGCTAAAAATAGTGTTGCCTGAAATAAGTAATAGTTTAACTAAAAAAGTCAAACCTAGAAATTATAAGTTTTATCGCAGTCTCTTCAAAATCTTAAAATTGTCAGTTTGATGTGATTCGCTCGCCCTTTTCCTTCCTTCTTCTCTGTCGTGATTTTGAAACGATTTGAAACGACTTTGTGGAGGACAACAGCAGTCCATCCTAGAACTCGGAAACAAACGTTTTGTGCCTCGAAAGTGAATGAATTGAAACAATGAAATTTTTGTTTGGAACACGGATGGAACTCAGTCAAAACAGCATCTGGAATTAGGAAATGATACCATATTTGTATGCTTGGCTACCTATTGTTTCTGATCTGTTGTGGAACTGCATAACTTTGAATTCGAAATGGAGACTACAGATGTCTTATTTTCACGGAGCTGTCTAGTTTCCATACTGCTCGACCTGATGAAATAATTAGTTTACCCTAAACCTAACCCTAAACCTGAACCTAACCCTAACCCTAACCCTTACCCTAACCCTAACCCTAACCCTAACCCTTTACTTGAAATAATTAATCATACTAATTTATGACTATTAATCATGCTTATTTATGACTATCAGGTCGAGCAGTATGGAAACTAGACAATTCCTATTTTCACGACCCTCGCAGCATTCTGGCAGATTACTAAGCGGTTGAGATAAAACCAGAAAGTAACGTTAATTTTCCAGGAGCATTAACTGCCTTTATTTTAAATTGCAGTCGTTGATGGCAAGAGAAACCTATGGCCAGACGGAACACCATATTTTGAAAAATAGGCTGGTGTCTACGTAGGCAAAACAAAAAATTGCGAGCAAAACAAAAGGAAAAACTTTGCTGTGGCATCCAAAACAAACAAAATGGTGTTGAGAAAGGGAGGGGGTTGCAGAACTTTTCACAAAGGCACTGTTTTCTGTCGGAAAGAAATCTATAATCTAGATTTAGTGAGTGAATTGTACCTACCCCTCCTCCCTCCTGGTACCAAAATGCATAAATATGAATAATAATGTTGTCTTAGGCACAATTATCAATGCATTATCTGAAAGACCCTAGCCTTGGCCTGGAACTCATTCAGATTTTTTGCTGGATCCGCCCCTGTGTAGTGTGTAATTATAGCATTTTCTCTTGCTGGAAGCCAGTGAGATTCCATCCCCTCCTCTATCACCCTCAACATCCAAAAGGCTTTTGACATCAGCATAAACACTAACGTTTATATTTGCATTATCATTTCTTGCAATTTACTTGCGTTAGCATAAGGACAGAAGCTTGAGATCTTTCCTACAAGAATCTACTTACAAAATTTCTCTATTATTCGGATAGCTTTGAACGCAAAAGTGAAAAGGCTTCCGAAGTAGCGGGTTATCTATATTTTGTGAACCCCGTAATGTGTCCCTGGTACGCTATCTAAAATTTCACTGTTCAAGAGCTGCTTTTTCTAATGGGTGGGGTTTAATTAAGCTTTAATCATTTTTCAAAATCACAAGATCAAAATCAAGAAGAAATCAGTTCGATCTAAGCTTTATTAAATGTTATTTGCTATTTTCTACTCAATGTCAATATATATTCATATCGTCATCCCCCTCATAAACAAGGAATAGGTTCATAGTTGAGGGATCAGGGGGGGGGGTCTTTGAGGGGATTGACTTTGTTTGAAAATCAGAATTTGAACAAAATTGAACCATAGCTACACCCGTGAAATGCAATCATGATCGCCTTAAAGACATCATCAGCCACAATTATTTCTAAAGACGTACAAGGTCAAAACTTATGAAGCCAAGAAAATAAGAAACACTAACATTGAATGTAAGTTGGCTGTGTAAATATAAAATGCATTACGAAGATACATTGATGCAACTGCGAATCGAAGGTTGGGAATAAAGGCACGTCCACTAAAAGAGGACATCTAACATAGCATATGCTTAGCCTGCGTGCAGACTTTTATTTACAAATAGAGGATTGTAAGGTTGGCACGCAGGCTATCTTTGTTCAGATAAACGAAAAAGCGCGGTTGATTTGAATTTTTGACTCAATAGATGCGCCAGCTGCTAGGTAGTAGGGTCAAATGGGTTTTGAGGCCACACTCGTTTTCGCGTAAGTCGGTAATTTGACTTGCTCATACCCGGTTTATTATTATCAATTTTAGAGGAATGACCTGTAGCTGTTTCGTGGTAAAATGTGGATTGACAGTCATATCATTGTGGCAAAAAGCTATTCTTTAAAGTCGTTTTGTTCTAAAAAATTGACGCTCACGCCCTTTTCAGCCCACCCTTTTTTAGAATGGTGCGCGGTGCCTGCCTCTTGAAGTGATGATTAGTATATAGCAGCTTGAAGGAATGACGTTAGACCCAATGGTTTTTGTTCTTTAAAAAATTTGTCAACCTCCCTTCGGCAAATTTTGGATGAAATGTTGCTCTGGTTTGCCCCTTCTCCCCCCTTTTAGGTTCCCATGCAGTTGACTGATTTCAATCACACCTTGAATGATGCGACACTTTTTTCAAATGAATGGGTGTTACGCCAAGCTGTATCATAGCTGGAATGGTTTACCTTTTAATTATTTTCTTCGATCATCATAGCCCAAATGGTACATCGTCATCTTAACGGGCAATGTAATTAGTTTTGAATTTAGGTTTCTTTACTTTTGGGCTGTATTTCCCGCAGCTCATTCTCAGCTAGTCGTGTGAATGTAATTGGGCATGAGTTACAATTTTGAAAACAATTCATTCCTCTCAGTTGAAGCCAAAGTACATTGCCAGATTTTTGCAAATCATGTCCACTATTAATTGACATCAGAATGCAAAATTCCCGGCAAAATTATCGTATGAATATGTTCATAGGGATGTTGCTGGTCAAGTAAGTGAAAGGAGAATAGGGTCGGTTGGGGCTGCCTCAGTGTCTGTGGTAACCTTAATCTTAATTCACTGACAGGATGTCCTTATGTAGCATATATATTTTCGTTTTTAGTGTTTCTTTCTCAGGAGTGTGCCAAACCAAAAGCAGATGGTAATTTTAGAGCTGAAAATACCTGAATTACGACTTTGCTGTAAAATCAAATTCTTGAATGGTAAATCGTTTGTCTAATTCTAATAAAATGTTGTCGTTAAATGATTCATTCGTACGAATAAAGTCTTATTTTGTAATTTTAGGTATCACTATATGCAGGCCTCGAAGTGTCGTTTCATTTGCGCACTATTTTACTGGATTTTGGCCACTCTCTTTAGCTGTAAAGTCTTTGTGCCTACCACCAAGGGAAGAAATATCTTTGCCGCTTTTGTCGCATCCTCATTCTTGGCAGTTTGTGTAACGACAGTTTTGATTCACGCAGTAGTGATCCGAAGAGCTGTCTCCAAGCAGTGCATACGTCACGTGCTTAAAGTAAAGAATGTTCGTGTTGTGATTGGTCCTTGCACACCACGTGAGAAGAGAATCCTAAGCATATCTATTTGGTCAATTTTTCCCTTCATAATCTGCAATTTGCCATTTTGCATCAGTGCTTTTTTTTCGTATCAGCATATCTTTATTGCCAAGGTGATGCTAATCGATGTCTGCCTTCTAAATCCAGCAATATACCTTTTCTTCACTTGGAAAACCAGGGACAACAACGTGCAACCCAAGGCCACAAACGATACCTAGAGGCTTCTCACATTAATTAAAAGAACATCAGTTTTTACAATGTTTACAATGTTTTTATTTGTACATAATTAGTTTATTTTTTATTCTTTGACGTGCTGTAGAAGCAGCGAAGTATCTAGGATTCATTGTGAATTTAAGGTCGTATAATTAATGAATTGTAAATAATTTATTTAAAGAGGTGCAAGGGATGTAAAGATAAAAACATTAATAGACAAATGCTCACATAAAATTAAAAAAATCCGGTTAATGGTCTCTTTACTTGGAGCACTAAATCGACGATTGTTGTTGTGTTTGTTCAAACTGTAATCTCACATCGAGTAGTAACCCAGTTCCCATCGATTGATGGTTGCATCGCTCTTTAAAGAGCCCTTTTTGGTGTAGTATTGCTCAGTTTTTAATGCATCTAATCTTGTAAGGTTTTCTTTCAAAACCTCTTGATTTTATTTTCCTTGCAAATAGATACAGTAAATTGACTAACGGACAACTTTGCTCATACCACTTAAGATTTTTGTGAGCTTAGTTTTTTTATACTTAGAAAAAAGGGAAATGGCCACTTTGTTTGCTGGAAATGCTCACGAGATGTGTCCAAGATGGATGGGTACAAAAAAAGTAAACCCAACCAAGGAATTAGAGATAAACATTTGATAAGATATGTCATTAGTAAAAATCTTGCCCGGAAAAGTAATGTCATCGGTGCTCCGGAGAAAACGGTAAAAGTTATAATCAATTTATGTCGCTGACAGTGTTAAACTGTTGTGATGTTTAGGTTCATTTCTTTCTTTAAGGGTCTATCTTTAAGATCTTGTGCTATCCTTCCGATAAAACGGTTTAGATAGAATGATATCCTGGAAGGCCTATGATCGCATATCAGTTTTTAATTCGCTTTCGGTTCTCTATGGAACACTTTCTTCGTGTCGTGTCTATCTAGAATCTAGTAAAAGCTGTGTTGGAAAAGTACTTCTTTCTTCCAGTTGCCAGTGCGATTGCGGGTTTTTTCGCTGGAATTTTTTGCTTCGTTTTCTTCAAAGCTTTTTGGCATTTCCATCGAAGCTAGATTAAAGATCTTTAAGCTTATTGAAATTTTGAGAGATTGTACCCAGGAGAATTGGCTTAACTGCCGAATTCGTGACAACATCTGCATGACACAGTCAATAATAGTGAGTGGAAGTAAAAATTCTGTAATTTGATGAATCTTTAACTCTTTTCTAAATGATCACCATACAACCAGACGAGCGAAATTCACATTTCATTGTCAACTCTTTGCGCTTGGCCGACGAATGACGTTACAAGTTTGACCTAGCTTTGCTAGAACGTATGGACTTTTTCTCAGCACACAAATTAAAAAAATCAGAAAGGAAACATTCTATGTTCACTTGTAACAACAACAAACGGTCGAGGATTAAAAATTTCATATTGTTAGCATGACCTTCTGATTTTGTGCGACTTCGTATACATATAGCTTCCATAATCACAATCTAAGAAAGACTATGTAGTTGGGTTGAAAACTACGGATCCGTGACAACTTCTAGTAGACCTTGTTTTGAAAGTTGTTTTTGGTATTTTGAATTACGCTCTACGAAATGAGCCTGGTTACATTTTGATTTTCGATGGGCGTTGACCGAAAATGACGTCTTAAAATTGGCACCTGGAAAATCTTTTTCACGGCCATAATTTGAGAAAGGTATGTCTAATTCATCGAAATAATACACAATTCGACTCTTCCTGAGAAAAGCTTTCGATTGATGTAAATTAAATCTCATTTTGATGATGTCAGCAAATTATGTTATGACATCACTGTTTCAACTCAAAAACAATGTATTGATCATACTGCTCTGATATAACTGAGATCCAAGACATATGTGCTCAAGTCACTATCTTATTAGAGATAACTAAAAACATTGCCGCAAATGGACTCAAATGTATCAGATGAGTCCATTTGTAGAGAAACTGGTTGTTTAACATCATGTCAATTAGTCAAAGTATCAGTTGCACCATCTGGTTCTGAGTAACTGTCTGAAGGCATTTCGGACTATGATTCGAATTCATACGCGATGACACCAACATCTTGTTCGTTGGAGCGATTAACTCTAAGAGCTATCATGTCATTAGGCATTGCTTGCAATGTTGACAAAACTGGTTCTAGCAGCCCTGCTGAACTGGACTTCCATCCTTGCGATAAAGGAGATAGAGGAGGCGCTGCTCCGTGATAATGTCTCCAAATGTTACATTGCTAATTTGTTCTTCAATAAATTGGTGCTATTTATTAGACCCTCGTCGGGAGGAAGCCTCTATATACTCTTCCTCTTCATTGAAAGCCATTTTTAAGATCTTACTGTTGTACGGGTTTTGCTTGATACATCGAGATCGATGCCTTTAATGGTGAATTTCATTAACTTATGCATAAGCTCTGGGCAAAGTTCATTCGTAATTCAAGAACATCAACGAAACTGGCAAGCTCTGGAGTTTTTACCGCTTTCTCTAAAACTGAGACGTTTCCATGACTAAGAAACCATTGATTGCATCTGCACCTAAAAAGCATGTATTTGTATGAGGAATGCAGCTAACTCTGGAGAACACATTTGGACAATCTAAAAAATGGTCTTTCCGTTGCAAATGCATTTGGCCAGAAAGCTCATGGACACCATGTGCAACAACAACATCCAACTGTCGATTTGGATCGGGTTTTGGCATTGTGTGAGCACTGTAGAGACACGAAAGAAGAGCCTTGTATCTGAGCCGAAAGAAGAGCCTTCGAGGTCTTCAATTTGACACTTTTCTTCTTCGTTGTGTAGTGAAACTGTTAGTTTTTATCCAACGCTAATAACATGAAGTTACGCTTAACTCTTGAGAGACGCAGTTTGTTTCCTTTGTGGGGAAAGAAGCTTTTGAAGGCTTGGGCTTTTGGTACAGCTTGGCCCCGTTTAATGAAAACTTGGCAACTTCCAGAATTTAATGCTGAATTTATTGATGTTCTTTGATGGTCCATATCTTTAATCGAATCAGGCAAATCATAGCGGTAATTATGATACGAATGAAGTGTCGATGCATGCTTGTTTCGTGACACCACTATTCTCAATATCTTTGCAGCAAAATCAGCTCAAGTAGAACGTACACCAATTAGAATTGGGATTGCTAAGCGCCAGTACAAACCTATACCAAGAAGAGCTATCTGTGTGTCAGACAAAATATTTCGTTTGATGTTTTCAAGGATGAGGATGTAGACTAACTTTGCTTTGAATGTTTTGAGTACTGTTCACTTTGAAAAGAGCTAGTGTCACTTCTATCAAGCAATATTGCGTCATTCTCATGAGATCTAATCGAGCCTGCTGTACCAACATGACCAATTCAACTATTGTTTGTGTAACGATTAGGGTTCTTCTTACGACGGTGATGTATCAGTTAATAACCAAGCTCGTTAGTGGAGCGATGGGCTAGGCCAACGGGCCTAGCCCCAAGTAGATAGCACACAAGAGATACTCGTTCTTTGATGTTATGTTTATCGTTAAAACAGTAAGACTAAATTATTCTAACTAGGATTACATTATATTAAAACACAACAAAGGAACACTGTGAAACATCACACAACACGATGACAGTGACGCACATTTCCTGGAAAGGGAGTTACTAACACAACAGCGTGACAAACAAACATGTGACATTAACACGCAACATAATCAAAGATCTAGCTAAACATAATAATAATAATTACTGAAGAATACAAGTCCTAAAACGTTACATTTGTCCATCCAACTGGCTTTCATTTGGTTGGCAAAGGCACAAGCTTTCGTTGATTCTTGTGTGATGAAATGACAACGACCATTTTTATTTATTCTTTTCGATATTGACCTCTCTGGTGAGACAATTCTTTCTTTTACAGAAGATTGGACTTGTTTTTCACCTTCTTTGTATGGAACTGAGAAAACTTGATGAACTCTCTTTGTTCATCTGTCAGATCATAACACATCATATCAGATCAGATCTTATCTGCCTAATAAAAGAACATGTTTCAAGTTTCATTCATTCAGCCATTCGCTGCCATGTCTCTAAAGTGCTCTCACAATGTTAAAACTCTATCTAAATCGACAGTGAAGATAGGGATGTTGATGTGGCAGAAAATGCAGTGCTTTAGAAGGCCTGTTTAGTGCCTCCATTTATTTGTTAATACGCTGCTTTGGAAATAATGATATTTGATCTCTTTAACCTCGATATCTCTTTAGTCTGAGTAATATAATCGACGTTGTTTTGTTGAAGAAAAGAAAGTTGCCGAGAAGATCTGGCAAGCTGTTCAAAGGAAACAATGTTTTGGTGGTACGAAATTTAAGAAAAGCAAACATTTTGAGACATGCTTGAGCTTTTCTTCCACCTCTTTTCAGTGAATAAAACGTCAAATAATGATGAAAAACTGCTATTGTATACAAAAAACTGTGTGTAAAAGATTTAAATAAACCTAGTGAAATCTTTCATCCTAGTGAAATGATTTAAATAAACCTATGAAAGCCATCCGCT